TAACGACACCGAAAACAATATAAAATTGTGCGTCTGCGACACAGCGGTTAGAACACTATCCGACTATGCATATGATCCGGGGTTCGATACCCTGCCGACGCACACCTGATATCAATAGGTCGGCCTGCTAAATTTGGGCTACCAATATCACATGCTGAAAAAACCTTACTCGTACCAAAAATTCGGTGTGAAATCAAACTATAAGCGAAAAATATAACTACGCTGACCAAAAACTATTGAAAAACTGCAAGACTATTGCTCTACCAAACAAAATGTGTCGAAAAACACGGCACAAACTTTCAAATGTGAAGTTATTCAGCATCCGAACACCAAGAACACAATGGCTGAACAAAATATCACACGCATTTAGCAAAAACGTGCATCAAACTAAACATGTACGAGGGTCTAATGAACCAAAAACGGCTTATTAATCAAGAAATAGTACAGAAAGCACAACTTTGGTGTTCGTACGTGCGTTATTTTGCGTCGGTGGCATAGCGGTGAGGACGCTCACCAGTCATGCATACGGTCCGGGGTTCGATCCCCCGACCGGCGTTCTCCTTTAACTCGCTAAGCCAGAAATAATGTTGGTAAAGGGAAAGATTGGGCATGAAACCAGCAACCCCATCCTGTAAAATAATCTCTACTTTGGAATCCTCAAGCCACTGGCTTGAAGCCCTATGTTCCACTGGGGAACGTGAAGGAAAAAAGTGCAGTATTAGACATAACACCATGGGGACAATAATTATGAAAACTTACATTTCAGGGGAAGCATTGATAGCTTATCTAACTGCTATGGCTTAAATCCATTTCGAAGGAGGTGCGTAATAATAACGCAATGTGCAGTCAATCCCTATAGTACATTAAAAACGAAAACTTAAGATGTCGGAAGGCGCCATACCAGTTCAACATATGATGAAAGTAGTCAGTGGTCCGGCTGATACAGTTTCCTGACATCAATATGTGCGAAAATCCTTTGCAATGTCATCTTAGATGAGTTAATGCCTCACCTTCAACCTGCTGTAACCTACTGATCACGGCTTCCCACTAAAACTACCTGAACAGAACCAGTAGCTAGTAAGGATCATATCAATTTTTGAAAATCGACTTTGTAGGAATTTCTCTTTGATTAGTTGGGGGATTTCATAATGAGGTGACATCAATTAGAGAACTATTGGAAAACCTGAGAGTGCTGCTCAGCGGCCTGGCCCTAGTTTGGAACTCCTCAGCAGTACGCACTCACCGGGCTTCTCTAACTGATGTCAGCTAATGATCAAATCCTCCCACCAACCAACAGCAATCGACGGAGTACAAACTTAGGGAATTTAGGTGATAGCATCCACAAGGTTTGCCAATACAGAACTTCTACTTGACTATATGACTCCTTCACCTAACCGTGTTGCAGGGTACTCAAGAAAGCAACCCTGAGATTTCCACTTCGTTCCATCGATGTAACTGTCTCCACGAATCATAAATACATACTGAAGCGGCCAGACTCGGAAGTCAGTCCTGCACCTGCACTGGAATTGTACAATGAGTGGTGAATTTTAAACACAGTGTTTCAGCCAAGATAGTCTCAGCTGTTGTTTATCCAAGTTTCGATGCCGGTAGTTCAGAGACTGTGTCTCCCTTGAACGGTCAAGTTACAGGTATTTCTCTCTATCTGTTCTCATAGGGGGACACACGAATTATTCTGGATATTCGTTCTCATATAGCAGGTTTCCTTATTTCGTCGTTAAGTGTCCCGGTTACGCAGATTTTACTAGCATGTAAAACTAGGGTACTGATGAGATTGCATTTTTAGGATGGTGGTTCATTTCATTTTGAAATGAGTGGTTCTGTGAACAGTCCCATATCTTAAAGCAATGAAGAAACAGCTACACATCAGGGAATTACGTATAAAAGTGAAAATCAGTCAGTTCATCTATTTAATTGCTTAACAGAAACGACATATGGTGACACATGTTGACCACCACATGATATGTCAGGAATGTATCAAATGCACTCTAAGCTGCAGGACAACAAAATGATCCTAAGTGAATTCAATGTTGAGAATAATATTTGATTGTATGCGGTAGTCGCATCAAACCGCGAACTGTAACTGTTGTCTCTCTGGACCAATAATTATTCATGGGGTTGCTCTTCCTCCTGTAGAATTCTGGGTATAGTTAAAGAATAGCGACTCACGATGAATGAACGCACCAGTAACCGTGACACAAGCAATCCGAATTTGAGTCCCTAGCTGAACTCTAACCTCAATATTTCCCTAGAATGACACTACTTAATCACAAAATGTGTTTGAGTTAACCCTAAACGACCAATAGCCTGTCGCTAACTAGCTCTAATCTCTCCTTCCTTAGGTTTACCTAACCCTAACCTCTCCCTAGAATAATCCTAATTTCTTTCCGTAACCTAAAATTAAAATAACTGGATATCCCCTTTAATATCCAACACCTTTTTGCACGATTATTGTGTTATTTGCCTGGTTTAACCAATATAATCTGCTGGTGTATTCGCTGCTCTTCTGTGAAATCGTCCATTTCTGCTGACTGTAGTTATTACAATTGTTTTTCTCCACCTTTGGTGACTTCAACTGTTGTAAATTCCTGCGTATAAAACTCAGTTAGTCATTCACATAACCTTCTATCAATGGTAAAGCAGACACTTTTATCCACACACATTTCATCAGTAAAGTACTCACCATTAATTAGGAATCAAATTCAGCGAAATCTTCCTAACTGACTACCTTTGTGATGAGAGCTGTCTGTTAGCCAGAAGTGGTAGACAGTAATTTACGTCAATGTTTACGTCCCCAATATTGGTCATGAGAAATATAAGAACAAAGACTTATTCAACAACCAATCACAGCAGACTTTGCGTAGGCGGATACAATTTGCAGACAGACAATCTGAACTTCAATGAACGGCCACATAGAGACGAAAGATTAACGGTCAGCGAGAAACCACCAATCAGAAGACTGTTTGTTTGCCGACAATAATCTACATGATAATCTATATCTGTTGATTCCCTGAATAAACGATCTGTTGCCTGGCCCTTGTCTTCTGTTGTTACACCTATACCATCATTCAGATTTGATCTATAGCGCGTCTTTCCAAATAAGAGACTTTTTGAATGCCAATCCGTCTATTTAGACACAGAGGGGGTATGGAAGGCATTCTACACATTCAAGTGAAAGAATTTTTATAATTTAGTGCCACAGAATATATATATATTCTCGCTTGTTAAAAGTGTTTTTCTAGTTACAACCTATAAATACATACAAGCACTAGCTCTCTTCTTTAACTGGTCAATATAACTGACCTACATACCTCTGATGTCAATTCCTTCAGCAATGATTCGTAAAAGTGGAGAGAGGCGGATAGAAAACCTAGATTATCCTTTAGACAGATACTTAAGCCCAAACCACTGTATTGTTACATTTTTCAATGAGAACCAGTTAAAACCCTCCAAAAAATCAGTGACTTAATTATTTGAGTAAGTTGCGGTTTAGAAACCGTCAGACGTAAGTGTACATTGGTCCACTGATGATCGTTTAGGAAAAGATAGTCAACTGAGATGAAACTAGGATTTCATCATGAGCTGATATCAGTTAGAGAACCACTGGAAAACCTGAGTATTGGATAGTTGTTCCTTCCTGGTTTGGAACTCCTTATTAGTACGCAACCACCGGGGTTCGAACCGAGGACCTTCTGGTCTCAAACTAGGACGAAACAGCTATCCAGTACTCCCAGGTTTTCCAGTGATTCTCTAACTGATATCAGCTCATGATTAAATCCTCCATTCAATCTAGCGATTCCTCCAATGTTGAAGAAAAGCAAATGGGTTTGTATAGTCAAAGTTCTCAATTGTCCTTTTTTCAGCCTTTGGAGTACATGAAACAATTTTCCTGTTAGCTAAGATATTGATGGAGTCCAAGAACAAATTATCTAGTATTCTTTTGTAGTTAGCTTATTCATTACCTAATTGATGAACTGAGCATAACATTTCAAAACTTCGAGGTTATTTGATACCGAGAAATAACTGGTTGCCTAAAACCGTTATCAAACATTTAGGTTGACATTACGCGCTATATTATTCATAAGACTAAGGAGGAACTAATGCAATTAGCTTCTTTAAAGCCAAATTGCAGCATGAAGTTAAATTTTAAAACCCTTATCACAAATATGATATTTTTGATTTCACCGCCTGCGATACATTTCTACAGTTGACTGACCAGTCTCATTTTATGAAGACCATGGTTACCTACCACCCATCAGCTGATAAATCACATTCTCTCTGCTACAACTAGTGAAGCGCATATTGATTCAGATGTCGACAACAAGCGGACACTGATACAAATCCTACACTAAAAGTACAGATTTATTTGACAACATTAACTGAACTTCTTGAGACATTAAAGAGTTTATTAATATTCTAAGTGAGAAAACAATTTTGCTCATTTATACAGACAAATATAACGGTGAACAAAATACTTTGAAATGCACGATAGAAGATGTATGGTAATTTTAATATATTTTACAACAGAAGTAAATTTCTAATTGTCTCTAACAGTTAATATTTCTGGTAAGTTGCATGAATAGGTGTTATGCAGGGTATGAATGCTTCAAAAAATACACCAACTACGAATATACGGAATGATAGATATGCCTTTATATTCGTGGCTCTCTTCTCTAGTAGTTGAAAATCATCGTCATAATAGATACAGAACGCATAAATGATAAATGGAACACACAAAGAGGTTCGCAACTGAAAATCTCTATTAATTCCATAATCTGGTAGAGGAGACAAAGAACATCCATGTCTGTATGTATGTACACGATAATTAACAATAAGAAATATACAACGACAAAAAAGGTATCCATAAAGAAAGAAAGAAAGTGGAAGAGAGTGGAAGATCTTTTAATCACCAAGACTTTACATCTATACAACAACAACAACAAGAACAACAAAAAACAGCAGTAGAAAACTAGAAAAGCAAATTAAGTTAAAAGATTGGAAAGAGCTTCGAATATCTTCAGCATATCTTCTCGATGAAGTTCAATGCCTAAAAGAAACGAATTATATCAATTATCAAGCCATACTTACAATTAGTACTGAAGTATTTGAATTCAGCTCGTGCTTTAGTCCGACTTATAGCAGCTTCAAAGGCTTGACCGAATAAACTATAGACGATAAGATGTTAATTATGACAAGATTTATACAGAATAACTTACTTCCGATCATCATCTCCGTGGATTGGTGGAATGCCCAAGAGAGAAATGTAATTATCATCTGTTTTACTGTCGATACAGAGAATTAAAGGCATTTGAACTACCCTTCGGCCATGACCCTTTTTGAGAGAGAGAAAGAGAAAAGCATTGCATAAGCACAATACTTGGACACTGTGATAGAATAGAACTCCACTATAGATAAGATTTTATTTTGATAAAATCACACAGTGTTATGCAATAATATTTACTGATGACCATGTTTCGAGCACAATTTATTGCTTATTATTACTATATGAAGTTACTTACACAACTTTCCAACACATTTCGAATATAATTTACAAAATACTTTGTAGTGACTGTAAGTTTAGTCACACTAGTAGATCGGGGGTGGTCAGATTATCAGAACATAAGAATTTAGCTAAGTTTAGATTGGTTGATCCCACAAAGATAAGTAATTTAGAAAAAAAACCCAGCAATACCACTGCATGCATCAACACACAACCACACAATAGGGTGGGACGGAGTCAAAATGCTAAAAATTAATAATAGGTAGATGGAGAGAGAGATTTATTGTTGAATCCTTGTTCATCGAGTTTACACCCAACACATGCAATAGAAATGACTCAATGCAAATACCAGAGATATGGAAGGTATTATTACCACCAGTTAAATCAGAGGAGGATAATAAATAAAATTAAAATGTATTCAATTCACATCACAACATTTTAACAAAGTATTTATTTTACTGACAAAACATCTTATTTTATTGATAACACTAATATTCATGTCGAATGTACTTCATCTTCCATTCTGTTTCATGCAAGTCTTATGTTGACTTTAATCAAATGTCCAATCAAATTTTACTCATGTATATAAATGAAGCAAGAAAGTTATGTGATGAGTACATTTATATGATTATGAGCAGTAATAAATTGTGCTCGAAACATGGTCATCAGTAAATATTACTGCATAACACTGTGTGCCAGCATTATTTACTGGATGACGTTTCGAACGAAATTTATTCTTCATAATCATGCCATCAATTGTAATGACACGACTTTGAAATTTATAGTTTTCTTTGTCTTCTCCTATTTGTCATCGTTGGGGTAGTAGAATTTTCCAGATATCTGGGATAGGTGTTGAATCATTCCTATTACAGGTATTTACAGTTGATTCGATAAACAAAGCTTCTGTTTTCAATCTCTCCCTACACCCTGTTATTTTACATTTTAAAACTGTCATCCTATTCCATCCAGCCTATTGTATGGTTGTGTGTAATTGCATGTAAGGCTATAGCTGAACTATTCTCTAGATTTCTTATCATATTTGGATGTCAAATCGAGAATCGGGAAGGCGAGAAACACATTCATCAACCTGAAATCAATCCGGAAATCTTCGTCACTCAGCATCAACAACAAAATTCGGTCGGATTTTCAATACAAACCTAAAGTCAGTTCTTCTATACGGATCAGAAACTTGGCGGGCGGGTCACAAAGAATATTTCCAACAGTCTGTTGCAGACCTTCACCAAACAACAACTGTCTTCGCTGGCTCTATACTGAAGATCAGATGGCCGCGCCAGAAAGAATCACCAACAAGGAATTATGGGAACAAACAAAGCAAGAACCAATCGCCCAACAAATATGCAAGAGAAAGTGGAGATGGATCGGACACTCGCTGAGGAGACCGCTGTGTGATATCGCGCGTCAAGCCCTCGAGTGGAACCCGAAAGGGAAGCGGCGTGTGGGACGTCCAAGGGTGACATGGAGGAGATCGTGTGAAGAGGAGTTGAAAGAATATGGATTAACATGGATGCAGGCGAAAAGTACAGCAGAAGACAGAAGCAAATGGAGACGTGCAGTTGAAGCCCTATGTTCCACTAGGAACCCAAGGGAGCAATAATAATAATGATTGTTTATATATATGTGTGTATATTTATAATTTTGCAGCTTGTTTGATAAAATCAGAAAGCAGTAGTGCCTTTTGACTTTTCAAAAATATTTTTTTTAAACTACACACAAGGAAATGCACTGTGAAACTGCAGTTCAGAGAAATTTTTGTCCCAGAAATGTTAGTTTCACAGGGAAACAGTTGTTTTCCTTAATCTGTGTCGCTTTACGTTATTTATATAATGTAGGTTTTATCTAAGTTTCACTACCAAAATTATCGCTCAGCTAGAAAGGAAAAATTAGCTATAAAATGGTCCGATTTGTAGATTGTATAAAATATTTCCATATTGGTTTGTTTGTTAGATGTATCACACAACGAAACAGTATTATTTACTGGATGACTTTTCGAACAAAATTTATTGTTCATAATCATATCAACTGTAATCACACGACTTTGAAACTTGAATTTTATGGTTTTCTTTGTCTTCTCCTATTTGTTGTCGTAGGGGTAGTAGAATTTTCCAGATGTCCGGTTGGACAGGTGTTGAATCATTCCTATTATACGTGTTTGAAGTTGATTCGATAAACAAAGCTTTCGTTATCAAACTCTCCCTATACTCTGTTAGTTGTATTATATCTTAAAACTGTCATCCTATCCCATCCTATTGTATGGTTGTGTGACTGCCTGTAATGCTATGGCTGAACTATTCTCTAGATTTATGAAGAGAGAAGGAACGAACATGTTTGCAGTATAATAAGAGCTCGTTTTATTTCGTGGATACTGATCAACTGCATATATCCTAAACAAAAGCAAATTATAAGTTTCAAAAAAGTTTTGGAACATACTCTTTCATAATTACTTGGGGTTATAGACAGAAGGTATAAGGAACATAATTTCCAAATTTGATGTAGGTAGACAGATTATTCAGTGTCAAAAAAACCAGCTAATTAAGTATAGTGGAATTAGATAAGAGGGGTTAGAGTTCAGATTTCTATTGGAAAACACACATTGGTTAGAGGCATATTATAGGGTCAGGGTCAGAGAACAGAGTGAATTTACACATTTTGTGGTGGAGAGTTTAAGAGGGTGAATAGTCAAGTAACATTTTTTATTAACTTAAACGGACAATTAAGTAGATTTAGAAACTTGAAGGTCAAAATTGAATAGAATATTTTGTAACAAGACAAACACACAGGTAGACTGACAAAAAGGCAAAACAAAAATAAAATAAAATAGGATTAGGGTTACCAGGGTAGTGAAAGATAAGTCACACTATCTTTCTATATACAAAGGTCTGGTCGAAGTCTCTTGATAGCAATGGCTTCTGCGAAACGAAGTAGCCATGGGTTTCTTCGTGTATTGATTATTTTGAAGGCTTGGCTAATTTCCACTGTGTGTTCTATGTCAGTTAAATGTCTGGCGATTGCACTCGATAACACTTTTCTTCCTTTTGTACGGAGACTCTTAGGAATGTGCTCAGAAAATCTAGTAGTTGCTCTTCTCTAAGTCCTTCCTATGTACTTGCTTCCGCAAGTGCAAGTGAATTGGTAAACGCAGTTTCAGTTGACGTGAGTAGGGTACTCATTTACTTCTGACTGGGTTAACGAGCACACAGTGTTGGGAAATAGGATCAGTCTGGCGGCTGGAAAGGTTCCTTTTAATGCACCTGTGATCCTTTTTTGTGTTCTTGTGAATACGTCTTCCCCTTTGTACGCTAGGCAGATGAAAACTGGTTTCTTTTCAACGGTGTCAGGTTTCGGTTTGTGTGCTTCTTCATTTCTATACTTCAATATGAACTTTCGGGGATATCCATTATCGCTAAAGTTCTTTTTGATGACCGCGAGTTCTTCTTCAATCTTGTCTTCCGAACATATTTCTTTGGCTCTGCTGAAGAGTGTTTTTACTAGACCTCGTTTGTAACTGGTTGGGCAAAAGCTGTGATAATTTAAGTATTGACCAGTCCGTTTCTTTTCTGTAAACAGATTTTTGAATCGTCCCATCGTTTCTTCTTTTTACATCTAGGACATGGAACTGGTTGTTTCTTTCGTAGTCAATTGTAAATGCAATGTTGGGATGAGCCGCATTGAGTTTCTCAAACATTGCGGACGCGTGTTCTATATCATTGCAGACCACAAACGTGTCGTCGAAATATCTGCAGTAATAGGTGGTTCTTTCTATTTCTTCTTTCATTCGAGTCTGTTCAAGATGAGCCATGAATATGTCAGCAAGAACAGGACCCAGAGGTGAACCCATAGTCACCCCGTCAATCTGCCGGTACAGCTGATTGTTGAGTCGGAATTGAATATTCTTTGTACATAGAAGTAGCAATTTTCGTAGCTCATTTTCTGGAAGAGGAAGCAGTTCGGACTGTTGGCATATGATTTTACCGTTTCTTCGATGGATATGCTGGTAAGTAGTGAACAAACGTCGTATGGCACGAGAAGTCTATCTGAAATATCGAGTTGATCTAATTCTTGTGAAAACTGGAAAGAATCTTTGATACTGTGAGCTGCCAGCTTTTTCCGAATGGGTTACAGCTTTTGGGCCAACCATCTGGCCAGTTTATGGCATGGTGATTTCACCATTGATAATATAGGTCTCAATGGTACATCACTTTTGTGGACTTTGGGTTGACCGTACATGAATGGTGCACGCGAACCCCTTGGTTTAAGGTCGTCGTAAGTGCTGCTGTCTATTAGCCCTTCTTTAAGTAGCCCTTTAAGGTGCTTATTTACTTTATTTTCGAAGGCCGTTGTTGCTTCTTTTTTCGACATATCGACAAGGAATCTTATTGTATCATCGAGAATGGTTTTCATTTTAGAGATGTAGTCTCGGCGGTTTATTATTACGACACCTGAACCTTTGTTGGTTTGGGAATGACGATGTTTTCATTGTTTCGTAGGTTTTTTATTGCTGTCCTGGGTTCTTTAGTAAATAATTTTGAGTGTGTTGGAGGAGAAATCTGATATTGTTCTGCAATATCGATCATTTTGGACTTAAACCAGACTCTTTTATCCTCGTCTATGGGTTTAAGGTTGGAAAGTTGACTGTATAAATACTTAAACTGCGTTTCTGTATCGATTCTGTTAATAAACAAAGTTGGTACGTGATACTTAAATCCTAAGGACAGAGCTTCAGTTTCAATTTTATTAAGTTTTACATCTGATAAATTGTATATGTATTTTTCTGGGCACTGTGGAAATTTTTCTTGCAGTTATTCAACTACTAAAGATTTTCTGAGCTTCTTTCCATATGAGTTCGCTGTTTGCGATTGTAAATCTTGCATGAAGTTAATGAACTTTATACGACACACCAAATTAAGTCATTCCAGTAGACTGTCGAATTTCACTAGATTTGACCTTAAAGCGGTGATGTGTCTCTGAGATGAGCCGGTATGTGATTTAGTGATGCGGTGCAGGTTCTTTAAAGTTGGAGTTAGTTTGGTCGATCTGATGAGTTTCACGAATTGGTGTGGAAAACAGCCTATCTCTAGACACTCTTCGTAGAATTTAATCTTACAGGCTTCTCTCGCTATTCTGCAACGTCTCCCTAGGAAATCAATCAAGTCACTGAATCAATTAGTGATGTTACGTTTTGTTCGAAACGTCATCCAGTAAATAATACCGTTTCACTGTGTGACACATCGAATAAACAAACAAATATGGAATTAATTACTACCACAGTGCCCAAGTTTTACACATATACTAATAACACTGAGTGATTTAATCAAAAAAAATTTTATCCGTAAAGCATTATATGTTTATTGTTATTATTATTATCAATAAAACCTACCAACTTCGCTCTCATTGATGCTTTGGCCATAAGAATATATTTGGATAAAATTGCTAATGACTGAGAGTTTCTCAATGCGTGAGTAACCAGAGAACTCTAAAAAAAAACAACGAAAAAAGGCATACAGTTTAGTTGTCAAAAAAAAAGACGAAAAGGAGATAGGAAATTCAATCTGATAGAAATTATTCGAATGTAAGCAACTCACTACTGAAAAGTTCAGACACACGAATTTCAAACATACCTATACATTCTCACTTGAGAATTTATTGCACTTAGTACCTAGTGGTAAACTATTTGTAATGAAAGCATATCAAAGAATACCTTCAAAAATTGGCCCCCATAGAATCATGTGAAGAGATTTTTACACGTTAGATCAGTCAAGATATACAATGGGGAAAAGGTTGGATTTAAACACTGACAAATCTGACCATCCCTTTGAATAAAAGCAGAGAATACAGACGATGAAGACAAATCAAACTCGGAATTTGCCCAGTTCGAGGAGGTGAAATTTCACTGAAATTTCCTTTGGAAACTAAAATTCTTCAGATTACAATATATGATCAGCTTGACACCATAAATAGCAATCATGAAAGTTATCATAATGGAAGGTAGTATTTAATTCTGCAGAATTCGTATATTTACAACCGATAACAATAATTCAGTCGAACAATTGATATATAAGATATTCAAATGTTGGTTTGTAGGGATTTGATTGGTTTCAGGATTTCATCATGAACTGTAATCGGTTAGAGGACCATTGGAAAACCTGGAAGTATCGGATAGCTATTCCGTCCTAGTCTAGAACTCTTCATCAGTACGTTCCCACTGAGGTCCAGAACCTTCTGGTTACAAGGCGAGTTCATAGATATTAGGCCAGAGGGACCCCGATCTAATGGCCCACGAATTCCAACTTTTGCCAATCAACCGAATAGCGCGACCACTAGCAAATGCCATCGGCGGGTATTTCTCCTCAAACCCGACCTGCTGTACCCCCCCCCATGGAACACGATTTTTCACTAGAATTCAGGTAACCACTTACCTGAATAGGGTAAGTCACCAGTGGGCATCGGATTACCGAAGAGTCCCGAACCAAGACGAAACAGCCACCAGGACTCCCAGGTTTTATAATGGTCCCCTAACCGATGTTAGTTCATGATGAAACCCTGATACATAAGATGATTGCAATCCCAGCTGGTCTCTCAAATACAAATAAAGCAAGACGGGATTCGGGAGATATAGTTAAAATATCTTTTACTGCCCACTCCAATCAATCACATATTTAAAAATTTACAAGTCATCAAAAATTGCTATCAAATAACTAGTATTATCATTGTAGGAACCGATGAACAAATATTTTATCAAAGAGGAGTTTTAACACTCAGGCAACAAAAGTAATATGATAAGCCATCACAGTACATATACAGATTATACGACATGAATAACTGATATGGTGATTGATGTCCATTCAGGAAATAAACGAGTTAGAATTGGCCTACATAAAATACCCCCACTATTATATTGATCATGAATGCAGAGTAATTGAAATATCCCTAGTGATTTCTTCAACTATACGTTGTTATTAGATGGCTGAAGGCAACCAGCAGGAAGAATTGTGCTTATTGGCACTTATCAGTCAGCAAGGAGAACCTGAAGGATATAATCTTAACTGACAGAATTCAGTCTGCAGTGAACAAAGGAATAGACGCACGACACTAGTTGACGTTCAATCAAAGTATGAATTATACCTTATTGTGTACATATATCTACTTTTCCGTCTTATCTTTTGTCTGCTCTCGTTTAGCCAAGATCACAATATAGCCTAATTGTCAGAGTTCAGGATAAACTAAAATCAATAAATGATAGGTGCTTAAACTGCCTGGAAAGTTTAATAAAAACCAAAGTACAATTGAAACGGAAAAAGAGTGAATACTAATCAAATACTATCAGATAGGAAAGTGAAAACTCAGTCTTATACATTATAAGCCGTTAAGGTCACATACATATGCATTATAAAACCAATGTCCATAAAAATGAAGTTCCGCACACACACACAAACACACACTAAATGCAACTTCTCAAGGGATCATAAGAATTTGACAAATTCAAAGGATATTCTTATAAAACTTCAAATTACCTTTCTAATATATACATATAAAAATGGTCCAAAGGCGACCACATCATCTGTATCGAGTAGATTTCGCACTTGATTAGCTAAATTCTGGAGATGCATTTCTGCCTGTAGTAGTTCTTTTTCTAAGAAGGTAAACTCCAGCTAAAGTGAAAAAACACAACAATAACAATTTTGTAAAATTGTTATACATAAAACCACAGAAAGCATACGATAAGATTGTTGGACTTAGGTAAGATATAAATGAAAATTGTAATGTGTGAAAGAAAACGATTTAAAAATGGATACCGTGTATGCATTTATCAAGTAGTTGTCTCATACTAGTCAAGGCAAGAAGGTAAAGAAAGTGTGTGTGGTGTTCTCGAAGCTTTGATATTTGACGGCGAACGGACGTTTCATCATCAAAGAAGAACTGGCTTATAATTATGAGCTAATATGTCAATTAACACCAAACTCATAATCTAGATAAGCAAGACAGAAGACCTACACCTCTCTGAAATCAATCTGGAAATGTCAACTCAGCATAACACAGCAAAATTCAGATTTTCAATATGATATGTATCCATATAATATGTGTGTTTGTTGAGTCTGTTATATTTTGCTATGTATATATGGATCGATATTCCATTATAATTAGCCAATCATGTTAAGACTGTCTATTGATTTGTTCATTTTGAATATTCGCTCACACACTTGTTCGAACATTCATATTTTGCTCCACACTCTTGTGTGACATTTTGATTCTCCTTGTGTTTGGAAAATAGAAGTATCATCGCAAACCTAGTGGTCTTCTAATTTCCGTCTTTCTTGCATCAGGACTATTAAATTCTCGACCAGTACATAACACAATACCAACGTTAAGTCGGTCAGTTTTTACACATAGTTCAGGAATGTGAAGTGCTCGACACGAAAAGTATTTGCAACAGGCAGCTGCAGATCTTCATCAACGACTGACTTCACTGTCTCGATGCTGACGATCAGATGGCAAGGTAGAAAGAATTGGCAACAAGGAAATCTGAGAGAGAAACGAATCAAGAACCTATTGTTCAATAAATATTCCGAAGAGATTGGAGACAGATCAGGCACACGCTAAAGAGACCGTCGGGGAACATCGCACACCATGCCATCGCTTGAGTGGGACAAGAGTAGGGAACGACGAGTTAAGCGTCCGAAAGTGACAGAGAGGATATTGTTTGAAGAGGAGATGAAAGCTTATGGGCAATCGTGGAGCTAGCTAAAGAGGACTGCAAAGAACAGGGCTAAATGGAGAAGTGCTATTGAAGCCCTATATTCCACTCGGAACCCAGTGGAATAATAATAAGTTTTATTGAAATTAATCACAAGAATGCGCTGTTTATGACGTAATTAAGATTCAGGTATGCAGCATACTTACTGATGGAAGTGTTACATTCATTTCTCGTTGTAATAAAACAATAATAAACATCACTTAATCACAGTGATTTAGATTCTAAACGATTTATACTGTCCCATTGATAGACGTGGTAAAAGGGTCTATATTATGACAGCAATCAGAACATTGTAGTTTGAAACATGTGTAATGTATGCTGGCATTCAAGAAAACCAACTGCTAAAAATTACTATACATTACAAACACGATTTCACACAAATGCTACTATAATCGAATTTTTTAAAAATCATCAGTAGCTTTTGTGTCACTCCCTTTGCGATGACAAACAGACACTACGTTGATTTCTAACTTCTTGTTCAGAGTTGTGTTACACTGAAATTATAATTTATTTTACGAGGACAAAGATTTGTGAACTTCCTGAATGAACTCTATACCCAAAGACTACTGACTGAATTCAAATGCACATTATGTAATTGAAAAATATAGGATTTTTAATATTTATAGGATTTGAACCTAGGGACTGATGCTAAAGGAACATATATATATATATATATATATTGTTAGGAATTTTACACATCCAATTCGGCAAAAGAATTTCATGTTATGAATATCTTACAATTATCATGAGATCAAAATGATTGATAAGGGTTTCAAGGAAATTCTGTCATAGAAATATGACCGAAAATTGGGTTGTAGATAGTATTTGCCGTCTCCCAGCCTTTTCTTCCAATTTGTTGGTTTTTGCCTGCAGGTCTTCGAGTTTGTGTGACATTGGACATAAATCCCTCACGAAGTCTAGATCTTCTAGAATAATGTTATCGGTTCAACATATTTCCGTCTTCTCGTTCCCCTCGCACAGTCTGACGCATAATCCAGTCCACTACAATTAGGAATATCATCGGTGATAATAGGAGACCAGCCTTGTCTTACTCCTGTATTCACTTCGAAGGCTTCGCTAAGTTTTCCGTTGTGGATCACCGGACACGTACCACTGTCATATAACTGTTGAATGAGGTTGATGAACTATTGGGCACTGCAGGCCATAGAGTTGAAGCAGTTTCCACATTACTTTTCGGTCAACACTCTCTGCCAAAGGCCTTCCTAAAGTCGATATAATTGTTGAGGTAGACGTTTGATTGCCATTCTGTTTTTTTTCGATGACGTTGAGTAGAGTTGCAATTTGATCAGCACACGATTTGCCTTTCCTGAATTCAGCTTTTTCCGGCTGGCGGAGTTCTGAATCCAGTGCATCTTTTAGTTTTCCAGGATAATACGACTTAATATTTGCTTACCGTATGTAATCAGTAAAATTAAGCCGATTTGATTCAGTATACGAGCACTTTAGTTGAAAGTTACACAAAACAATTGAATTCGTGTTAAAAATTGGAAGCTTTAAACTTGGTCTTACAATGACTGACATTAATAATCAAAGAGCTACTGCTTTACCTTATATGTAACGTTTCGTTGACTTTGTACCTACTAATTCATCCAAGTTGAAGTCAACAGCTAACTGATGACCTTCATAAACTGGATGGGTGATGCAATAATTAGTCACCTCTTGAGTACGAAATTAACACTGAAAACAGTGTATAATGATTATAATTTATTGTGCCCCAAAAGATGTGGAACATAAACTAGAAGTGTGATATTGTTAAAAACAGTACTGACCGTGCTGCTTCTCAGCTTAGATAACACTTTGTCAACCGATCGCAAAATGGAAAGGGTGTAAATTAGTAGACAAGTAGATTCTTTTTTTTAAATACAGTCTATTACGTTCTGCAAAATATCTCCACCGCTGAGGCTTACACAGCGAAACGTTCAGAAAAATCTAGTTTAGATTTTTTTCTTAAACATGATGCGTTTAATTTAAATAATTTAAAATGAATCAATCTGACTCGAAGCTCAAATTATTCCAGGAATATCGTAACACCTACGGTCTGGAAACTTACAAGTAACTGAAGAGTTTATTTTTTATGTGAAACGATTATTAAGTAGGGAATTAGAAAAGTTTAACCTAGACACACAGTGTATAGGTCTGTTGAAGGAATTATGAACTTGTAGGCACTGAAGCTATTCAAATATATAAACACTAGGCAGATTGAACCATTGACTGTTCAAAGGCATAATGTTTATAGTACAAAAGAGTAAAAAAAATAAACAACTGGGTTGACAGATAAAAAAGTGGCATTGACATGTGAATGTAATGAATGGAGGCAAAGTTATCTAAAGAAAACAGTTGAGATACCAGAAGAGTAGTCATTAAACACAATATCAGAGTTTTCTTCAAAACACCCAACACACTAAAAACCAAACTTGCTCTTGTGAAAGGCCAAATTCCAAAGAAATCATTATTTAATTGTATCTACAAAATAAAATGCCTTGAATGTGATGCGATATACATAGGACAAGTTTAGCAAGAAATCAAGGTAAACAGAAGAAATGAACATCGTAGAGCATCTATTCGACAACTGGGAAATCCAGTTAGACTAGAAAAGCTTGAAAAATCATCAGCCATAGAATCAGGAGATAAAATTCATTTTGACAAAATGGAAATCATCCAGGAAAAGCATTTCAGAAATCACAAAGAATGTCTACTATCAAAAACACTTTATATCAGATGGAATCCAAATTGTCTAGATAGGAATGATGCACTAAGACAAAACTTGACCTGAATGCAACACCGCCGCTACCACCCAGCCCCAATGAAGGGACAAAAATAATAAAAAAGTGATAAGCATTTTCATTACGTAAACACATGCTGTTTTTATCATCCTAAACGCTTATCAAATTCCAAAATCCGCATATGGCTTTGTTACCTTTTTGTTACCTATTGGCCAACTTGACAACGCAAAAAATACCCCATGCTGACAAATGATGATTAAGTTGTTATATATAAGTTGAGATTTTGTGAATTCTGATTTAATAACACTTTAAATGTAAAAATGTGGAAAGGGAAGCGTTAAAATTTTATGAATTATGTATTAAAAAACATTCCTTCCCGAGGCAATTTTATAAAACTTTGCAATTCAGTAAATTACAGTCAAATATCTCTAATCTTGTTCGTCTTACAAAGTCACATATCGAAAATGTTAGACAAACGTTATAAGAACTACTTGTTTTTCATACCGATGCGTCACTTATTTTATCTGAATTATCAATAATATGCCACATGAAATTCCTTCAGTTTTGTTAAAATGTTACTCAGAAAACAAAGAGAAGTATACAAAATAGGTTGAAGAGTTCAATTGATGATCGAAACCGCGTAGATCCTTTTCCGGTGTATCCTGATAAATACGTCACAAATCTTTCTGACATTCCTCTATCTACTCATCAGAAAGAAACTTTATCCCTTGGATTTAAATTTTGTGTTCCTTGCACGCAATTTACGGATTTCGCCATCGATGCTGAGTTTGAAAACTTATACGACCAACTCAAACTTCTTGCCGCAACATCCAATGAAGATTGGGGTTGGTTTAAAGCCGAAATGGTGGATATAGCTCACCAGTTTTTAGACAACAACTCAAAAGAGAAAAGTAGCTTAAATTCCCAGCATTTCAAAGCCTTGAAAAAGCTACGGGGAAACTCCATTATGGATAAGATTTTATTTTGATAAATCACAGTGTTATACAGTAATATTAACTGTTGACGTTTCGAGAACAAACTATTGCTCGTAATCATATCACCATAAAATCTTCTCCATAATGGAGTTATACTCTACCACAGTGCCCAAGTGTTATACTTATAGCTACGGGAAAACTCTAACATAATTACTACGAAACCTGACAAAGGTTCTGGAGTCGTCAGTATGAATAAAAGTGACTACAAATCTAAAATGGTGTCTATTCTTCATGATAAAAGCAAATTTAGCCGTGATCCCTCCTCAGAAGATATTCAGTTGTTGCAGGACACAGTGACATCAAATCTACTGAAGCTTCATGGCCTAAATGCTATAAGTAAGCATAAATGTGACTCTTTAAAACCATCAGAATGTACAAATATTCCTGCATATGTATGGTTTGCCAAAAATACATAAACTCAATAGTCCTCTACGTCCTATATTGTCAATGTGCAAATCCCCAAACATAAACTTGCTAAATGGTTAGTAGAATTATTGCACCCAGTCAAAACACAATTCTGTAAAAGATACATTTGAATTGGTTAATTTTCTTGAACATATTAATATTATGAATAAGAATATGTACTCTTTTGATGTAAACTCGTTAATCACTAATGTGCCTCTGCTCAAAATAGTTGGCATTTTGTGTAATTATATTTCCACAAACCATTTTTTATCCCGTTCCCTATATCCTTTTTAAGGGATTTACATTTGAAGGCGATTGTTTCCGCCCAATTGATGGTGTTGTTATGGTAAGTCCATTAGGGCCCCTTTTAGCAGATATCTATATGTCGTACACTGAGAGCTTATCGGAGGATTTAATCGAAAATGTGCCACTTTACAGAAGGTATGTAGACAACATTGTAATCATAAGTGATAAGTCTTGTTCTGAAACTTCAATTTTGAATCGAATGAATGGGGTTCAGAAAAGCATATCACTTATATCTGTAGAAGGAGAAGATAATTGTTTATCTTTCCTAGATATATTGCTTAGTCGACGGCTTGATGGGTCAATAGAACGATCTATTTATAGAAAACCTACCTGGACAGAACAGTATCTTAATTACCACAGTTTCTGCCCTGTTCGGTACAAAAAAGCCTTAGTAAGGTGCCTCTTCAGTAGAATCCAACGAATATGCACTGAAGACACACTTGATGAAGAAGAAAGAAAGTTGACACAAACTCTGGTTGATAACAATTATCCATACAAGTTCATCAGAGATATAAAGTAGTCAGAACACCAAGACCCACTCTCCAAGACTCTCTCCAAGCTACCCTATATGGGGCAGCATAGCAGTTTGATAACTAGACAAAGATTGAACGCTGCTGTTAAAAAGACTTTTTATGCAGGTAATCTCATAATAATTGAAAATGTGAAGCCAATATATCCATTTAGGCTTTTTGAACATGCGAGAAGTGATGTCACATCGCACTGTATTAACCAATTTGAATGTATGTGTGGAAACACATACATAAGGAGGACTTATCGATCTCTGCAAGTAAGGGCTTCAGAGCATATTCCTAAATGGCTCCAAAAACAAATAGAATCTTCAGAACCCATTATTGGTGAGAACAGGAGACCCAGCTCCTCTATTGTGAAGCATGTCTTAGGAACAGGATATAACATTGACGTTAACACATCTTTTAAACCTATCTATAAAAGGTGTTTCGGGCGTATCCTAAAGTTTATGGAAGCAATTAGAAAGTTTACACCACCTTTATGCGTTCAAAGCAACAATTTGTCATCATACTAAACATCCCTTGGTAAATTTTGTTTCGATACTATAGCAGATGTACTATTACCTCTGCTATTTGGTTTAGTGGTCTTCATTGTTATTTTGACCTTGAATATGTCCTTTTAACTTGACCTAAGTCTATTTTCTCACCTCTTAACTCTTTGTTAATTTCATATATATTCCCATGACAAGTCCGCGAAGTGTGATCAGATTGTTCTAAATGTGTTCCGCAAATACATTACACACGATTCAAACAAACTACGTCTTCTTATTGCTTTGTATAATAGTACTTTGATAAAGCTATTAGCAGCACTAAGTAGTGAAATGTCAGTAAAAACAAAAACGTTTTGTCTTTCATTCACTGTAAAATACAAAAACTTTAATAATAAAACAAACTGGGTTGACGGATAAAAAGGTGGCAATGGCATGTGAATGTAATGAATACAGACAAAGTTGTGTACAAACAAACTAGTAGAGAATAAATACTTGGTGGGGTTGGGCAACACGACAGACCCTAAGGAATTCAAATAAACATTTATTAATGTTACATTTAAGATGATAAGTTACTTCAATTTTTTATTTATTTGGTTGTACTTTCTCCACTGGGTGATTGCACTGAGAAGCTTCCTTTGTCCTTCAACAGACAACATATTCACACACACGAAGGCTTGTACGCTAAAGAAAACTTCACGATTAAATCACCGAACTCTGAGAAAACAATTAAATCAAAATCATCCACCTGAGTTTAAAACATCTCTATTATTTCAAGTATAAGAAGTCAGTTTTGGAGTCATCATCTAGTGCAATTTCATTGATTCTCAACAATCAATACTACTAAAGAACAGGTAATCAATACAAGGCCAAAACTAACTGTTATTTTAAAGAAAGTATTGATAATAAAAAGTCACTAGGTGCAAAATTATAACCTACCACGCTACTGTATCCAAAGCCGATTGGAAGTTTTCCTCTGGGCTACCGCTATTCTAAAAATTCAAACAATAATAATACGATAATATAGTGAAGAAAGTGTCAATGCAAAAGTCTGACTGATTTTAACGTGGACATCTGCACAGAATTGCAGCCGTTCAAGTTACCACTCTTCATGTAGTACACAAAAGAAGACAAAAAAGCAAAAGAAGATTCAAAAGGACGAAAATAAGCAGAAATGTGACGGAGAAAGAGGAGTAACATGGAGAAACAGTAGGGTTCATATGGATATGAGAGATCACAAAGAGTGATGAATGCATCTCCGCCAGCCATTGAGAACGATGAGTTCCAGCCATATCACAAATTGTCTCCAGCCTTCATTGGTGTTTACCATCCCGAAGACTCCAGGAAGCCAGTATACACCTCCCTACGGGCTGGCTGAAGCTAAATATTGTAGATTTAATTGAGTGGTGAAGCCATGTTTTGGTTTGACCACCACTATCAAGCTCTTCGCCAACCTCATCGATCCTATGTCAGCTAACATTGCTCGTCGTCCTAACCATCTCAATCGATGTAACTTCACAACCTCGTTGGTTGATTTTCCCTCCTTACCTCAGTATTACTCGCACAATTATACCACTTGACACGGAAGATAGATAGAACGCAAACACCAACGCGAATTAGTGTATAAAGCACCAAATTAAATTAGTCTACATGAAGTCCTCTTAATAATCATCAGAAAGATTGTTTTTTATGTAATGATAGTGACTTAAGTATTAAGTCAGTAGATGTTAAATCACTGCCTGAATGTGGCTCAATGACTTCAAATTTTGAAACATGTATACAGAAAGTGTATGTGTAATTTGATTGGGAGAAATACGTGGCTACGGTTTCTTAGCTTTTAAACTGTTTTACAGTTTACATCAAAACCATGTCAGCTTACTGAATTATTTTCCCCGGCCTCATTCATACTGAACCACTATTGTCACCACAGTTACCTCATACAATTCGGTAAACTTGAGCAGTATAAGAGTATACGATACGGCTAAACACACCGCACTGTGAGGAAGTATCACTTAATGATATTTTGAATGAAATTTATTTTCCACAATTATATCAAATGTAAGCTGCCACTTCGAAATTTGGTCTTTATAGTTCTAACTGTTCTATTTTCATTCGTGGCAAGTGCAGCAGAATATTTCAGATATTCAAGAAAGGTACTGAGACATCTCCAATACACGTATTTTCAGCTAACTTGATAAAATAAGCCTTTGGTTATTAATTTCTCTTTCCATCCTATTAAGTTAGATTTCAAGATAGTTTTACTTTGCCCTATTCTGCTGTATGCGTCAGTGGCACAACGGTAGAATGCCAGCCAACCACCTTTATGGTCTAGGGTTTGATTCCTGGCCGACGCACTCCTTTACCTCAGTAAACTAGTAATAAGTCTTGTAAAGAGGGAAGGTTGTGCATGAGCCTAGCCCTGCGGACGCACACCAATATCCATGCTGAAAATTCCATACTTGTACTGAAAATAGGGTGTGGCATCAAGCTGTAATCAGGATAAAAATTCAAGATAAACTCCATCCCGTTAAAATAAACACCACGGCTACCGAAACTTCAAGCCTCTAGCTTGAAGACCTATGTTCCACTGGGAATGTGAAAGAATATAAAACCTCCCTGAAAGGGATATAGACATAGGTCCTCCACCCCTAACTGAGGTTACGAAAGCTGTCACTAATCTAAGATGAGGAAAAGCAGTGGTACCTGACAGAATGATTCTAAAAGTATTCAAGGACGGCGGAGACAGTTTACTGTCTGTGTTAACTAAAGTACTACACAGCGTCTGCAAATCAGAGATAGTCCCGTAGAGCTGGTGTTAGTCAATGATTATCCTAATGTACAAGAAAGGAGACACGTCTTCCTGGGATACTGCGCGTCGGTGGCACAGTGGTTAGGATTTTCGCCGACCATGCACATGGTCCCAGGTTCGATCCCGTGCCGACCCACACCTGATATCTATGGTCGGTCTGCGAAATTTGGGCTACCGATATCTATTCTGAAAATTTCATACTTGTACCAAAAATTTAGTGTGGAATCAAGCTGTAATCAAAAATAAAAAAATAATAATCACAGGGAGATTAGGTTGACTAATATTACATATAAAGTTCTAGTATCAGTGATCATGCGTAGATTAAGTGGTGCTCAGGAGAAACGAACACGAGAGAACCAGGCAAGCTTTAGACCACGTAAAGAGTGTATCCACCTTATACTAACCCTTCGACAGATTCTGGAACATGCTTGCCGCCGGGGTTCAACAATCATCATATTTCTTGACCTGAAAGCGGTATTCGATGACGTCGACCGAGGCGTACTATGCCAACGTTTGGATGTGAAGGAAATCCCCATAAAATATATCACACTAATCAAGGCACTCTACTCGAACTCATGAGAGCATACGGAGAGTCATCATCTGAAGTGTTGACAACCAGTGGTGCTGGTCAGAGATCCCCATCCTGAGCAGCAGTCTTCGAATGTTTGGCATGCGATTCACTCCCGTGAAGTGTAAGATAATGTTACAAGACCGGGCTGGACTACATAGACTCATTCCTAGCTTAAAGATAGGCAGGAGTGAAGTGATAGAGCGTGTTTCTGACCACTTCACTAATTTGGGGAGTTGCATCAGCCAACAACAGAGGGATGATCGTTGACGAAGTCTCAGCACGGATACAGAAGGTTCGTTTGGCATATACCAGTTAGTGCCATTTCTGTCGACCAAAGGAAGTCTGTTCTTCTCAGCAGTTTTCTATGTCCTCCTTTATTGGCCGCAAGACATGGCCATTCAAAGTGGGAGATATGAAAAGGATAGTTGTCTTTGATCATAGGTGTCTACGTTCTATCTCCCGTTAAGTGGTATAATAAGGTGAGCAATAATTGAGGTTAGGCGTCGAGTGCTAGGTAAGGAGTGAAAACTAATCGATGAGGTTTTAAAGTTATATCAATTGAGATGGTTATGACATGTGTCACGCATGCCTAATCATCGCCTTCATCGATAGGCAATGTTAGCTGACATAAGATGGATAAGGTTGAAAAAGAGCCAGTGATGGTCAAACCGAAACATGAAATCAGTCAATAAAATCCACAACAGTTAACTTAACCCAGCCACTTAGGGAGGTGTAGATTGGCTTCCTGACTTGGGTCCTCCGGATAGTAAACACCAATGAAGGCAGAAGAGAATTTTTGATATGGCTCAAACGCATCGTTCTCAATGACTAGCGAAGATGCATTCAACACTCTTTGTGATTTATCATATCCAATAAAACTCTACCGTTCTTCCAGATTACTATTCCTTTCCCCTCACTAACACTTCTATTTACTATCTCTCTTTTAAACCTCCCTTCACTCTCTTCTCTTGCTTTGTGTGCTACATGCAGTGAAAGTGGTAAGTCGGACTGCTGCACATCTGTGAAAAAGTCTATATTGAAACTAGTCAGTTGGTCATTCATATCACAAGTTTTAAAATTAAATAGGGAAGCAATATAGGACTTACATAACACTCCAAAGCAGATATAGTTAGAAATACAGCATCAACCGCTGACATGGGCGTTCTATACCCCAAATGAACAATGAATGAGGGCAAGAATAGATCTGTTCGTGAAAGGCTATAAGTAGAAAACACAAAATCCTTTTGTTTATTCGTTACATTATTTCTTACAAATTACTATATATGTACACATTTTTGCAACGATGAAAAGAATTTAATACCCACTAAGCACACATTCTTAAAAACAAAAAGTATATCGGCTGAAAAGAAAGTGAACTTGTATACGATGACGTTTAAATTTCATGTATTTATACATGCTTCATGTTTGACAGTGTCTAAGATAGAAATATCAAAATATGGGTGAAACTCTGAAGATCCAGTTAATGAAATCATATGAAAGTAGAGTAAAGTTTTCAACAACCGTAACTGTTACTCTAAATTAATCGTATTACCACCGATATGTGTACATTTTTCCTGATTTTCATTTTAAAATAAATATTTGGCGAAAAGCATTTCGTGAGGTGAACTTACACTCAATAACTTAGTCATTTATTACATTCTAGGGCAAGTAAATAAAGACACATTTTAAATGAAGTACCTTCCACTATGTTCTAGCTGAATGAAACAATTTAGGCTAGGAATAACATCAGAAATTTTTTTTTCGTGATTTCCTACTATTATTATTCCCTTGGGTTAAGGATGGGACATAGGGTTTCAACAACACATCTCCACTTTGTTCTATTTTCTTCAGTCCTATTCAGCTTTATCCACGATTGCCTATAGTCTTTCATCTCCTCATCCACGAACAATCTCCATGTCACCATAGGACAACCCACCAATCGCCACCCATTCGGAATCCGCTCGAGCGACGGCTTGCATTCAACAGCCTCCTCAACGCATACTCGATTCATCTCCATTTTCTCCAACATATTTGTTGAGCGATCGGCTCTTCGTTTACTGGTTTACTAGCTTGCTAGTTTTCTAACCAGTCCCAAGCCCGGCTACAGATTGAGTATTGGGCGTGGGTCTAGCGACGCTACACCAGAGAAGCTACTAAAATGCTCTAGAAACTTCAACGTACGAGAAATATATTAAAAATACCAAAAATGGAAAAAAAACTTATTCTTCGGTGGAATCGGAGAGGACGGCTTCATAGCTGTTTTTTTTGTTTATAGGGCTTAGAAACTTAACTTTAGGCAGCGGATTGAGAATTTCAACATTACTTGGTTAACTCAGAATAAAGTGATCACATATTACTACAGGCTGTTAGACATAAGGTGTTTACATCCAACAGGCTAACAAATAAAACTGTCTTAATCATTAAGGTTAAGCGAGTTTTTAATTACACAGTTTTTCTGATCAACCTTATATAAGCATTCAGGGAAATGATAGCATTTTGTCGATTCTCATCAGCTGCGTAAACCTACAGTACTTAGTAAAACAAGTTATCAAACAATTTTAACAGACATTTTATTTATGATCATGAATCAGTTCTCCAGTAGGGATTATTATAGTAAGTCATAGAGAAACAAACGTAAGGGTTATAAGGTTATTTCAGACTATTAGTGTATATATATATATATATATATTTGATTCTCTTGATAAATTTCGATAGAGAAAGAAAGACCAAATTTGAAGTATCAAATGATATCATTCTATTTCACAGGTTCTCATCAGCTAACTGCAAACTACCTGAAATTACAATGGTCATAAATAATAACATTTCATACTTCAATGTTTGAAAGATAAGAGAGAAAACATTATAAAACGAACTCATCCGGAATATAAGTGTTACAATACTTTTTAGTTTAAGTTACCATCAATTTATACATTATCAAAGTATGGATAAAAAGGGGGTGGGAGAAGACAGAAAAATCTAATAAACAGTGTTAGCTTGTACATCAACATGGCAACTCAAGAAGGTCAAAGTTCATCAAACTGAAAACTTGCTTAGTGAGCTGAGCTCACTAATGTGTATGACTGATCAGTGTAATGAAAGTAATTCAGTTACCAAGGGAGTAAGAGATTGACTACTCTCTCATTCTGTGTGCATAAGTCTGGTCTGAGACGTTTGATTGCAATTGTTCCAGCAAATCATAGTCGATTCGCTGTCCTTTGTACGCTTAATATTTTGAAGGATTTGGAAAACTCGACAAAATGACCACCCGTATCCACAAGGTGTCTGGTAATTGCAATTTAAAAATATCTGCTTCCTTGCGCCTTCCTAAGCAAGTTTTCAATTTGATGAACTTTAACCATCTTGAATTGTTATGTAGACGTACAAGCTAACACTGTTTATCAGATTTATCTGTTTTCTCTCAACGCCCTTTTTCCCATTCTTTGATAGTATAAAAATTGATGGTAACTTTAAACTAAAAATTGTATTGCTGCTTATATTCCGGATGGGTTTATCTGATAATGTTTTCTCTATTACCTTTCAAACTGAAACGTTATTATTTATAACCATTGTAATTTGAGGTAGTTTGGAGCAGCTGATGAGAACCAGTGAAATAAAGTGATATCACTTGATACTGCAAATCTGGTCTTTCTTTCTCTATCGAAATATATGTATGTATTACAGAAGCGATGTTTCTCGTAAAAAAATGAACAAATTTATCGCTAGGGTGGTGATCAGTCAGTAGTAAGAAGCGTAATTAGAGATAATAATAAGAGATTGATTGTAAGACGATACTTTGGTGTGTACGAAGCCAAGTGAACAGATGATGATGATGATGTCATACAGAGAGTAGAATTCAAAGGATCGAAAACGAAATCTAATATTAAAGTCAAGCGCGAACTGGGAGCCTGAAACAAAGCAACGAAATCAGAAGATAGAGTTAATAAGAAGGGGGCTACCAAGATAACTGAAATGCCACAACGGATTCCTTTGGAACACAGGTCTACTGGTTTCAGTCGTTTTCCTGCGGCAGCTTCAGAAAACTTACGCTGTTTGTCTGTCAGAATTTAATTGGTGGATGGTGACTATCAGGGGAATCCAGGATGTGCATTTCGTCCCACCTGGGACTCGTCATCTAGATGTACCTGCATTTCACAGTGAGTGATGATGTTCTCACCGAGGCTCGAACCCAGTACCCATAGTTTCAAACTCCAAAGCATTATCCCCTTGACCACTTGGGCCACAAGAACCTGTTTGTTTGTCTATTAGTTATTTTGCATGCTCCTAACGCGCCTACTCGGTGTCCTATGTCTTTCAGGAGTATGGTTATTGACAATATATTATCTGCAAATACGTGAACAAGAAAATTCCGACAATTAATGTGACCACGAGTAACTTTGTATGATGTATTACCAAAATTGCAATTTATTGTGTGAAACACCCATTATAGATGCATGCAGTAAACCGCCAAAACTAACCAACTATTTAAACAATAATTTTCTTTTACGTGAAAATAAGTTACATTATCTATTTACACTAACAGAAATAACTACTAGACAAAAGTAGTTTTGTCCTAAACAAACTGATTAACATTTACTGTTGGTATATATTTTTACCAAAATTGAAACACGTAAAATACATACCCATATCTTTCACCATACTGTAAGAACTGAGAACTAAGAGTATCTCGCAGATTACTATTCATTGAGGAATATAACTGTGCACATTCACGTCTTGGAAGTCTGGAGAGAGAAAATCAGAGAAAGAACAGTGATGAGTCGGCAACAAGGCGTATATATTCTTTACAAAAACAAGAATTTATGTACCCATAATAATGTCGATCGAAATTGCTACTTTTGTGCAACATTCTACGTAGTTGTGTTAGTCAATTGAATAAACCGACAGTCTTGTTAAAGCTATCAGAGCGACACTGAAATTTTCATTTGTTTTTGTCAAACTCTGGATACAAATATTTATCATACGAAAAATAACTTTACTCAACCCAATAAAAATTAACAAAAGTACAATAAAAACCAGTAGTTATATTTAGATTTTAAATATTAGTTGGTTGGTTCGAATTCATATACCCAAAGTAGCGGGCTCTGAGTTATACTTACTATGTAAGACCGGATAATCTACCCAGTTGTTCACACTGAAGTAGACACAGTGAGACTCGAATCTAGGGCTCATTGGCTAGAAGTCGACTACTTAAGCTAATGCAACACGCCTCCCCACAGGCACTTAACATACTAAGGAGTCTGTCTGTCTGTCTGGATTCAACATAGAACTTGACACCAAAGTGCACCAGTCCCAGTTGCCACGTTCCAAATAGCACACAAAGGTAGACAAGAAGATGAGTGAAGAGAATCAATAGAGTTTGACAGGTATAAGAGTGAAACAGAATGGGTAATGGTAGAAAGGAATATGAAAGATTACAGAGACTGAATACATCTGCGCCATTGACAACGATTTTGAGCCATGTCACCTGTTGTCTACAGCCATTGATTCCTAGAGTCGCGAGGGCCCCAACCCGGAAGTATGCATCTCCCTACCTGACTCAGTTTAACTGTCAAGGATTTCATGGATTGATGCTATGTTTTTGTTTGGCCACCACTTACTCCTTTCCAACCTGAACCTATATCAGCTAGTAATGCCCATCGGGAGAGGCGATGGTTAGGCATGCGCAGCACGTGGCCTAGCCATCTCAATCTATGTAACTTTATAGCCTCATCGATTGATTTTCCTTCTTTGCCCAACACTCTACGCCTAACGTCAACATTACTTACCTTATTATACCACCTAACGTGAGAAAGAGATCACAGACATCTATGATCAAAAACAGTCAACCTTTTCATATCTTCAACTCGTATTGTCTATGTTTCAGAGCCATAGAGAAGGACGGAGCGAAGTACTGAGCAGTACACACGTCCCTTGGTTGATAGCCGGATGTCACGCCTACGCCAGAGATGGTGTAAGTCAGCGAAAGCAGCTCGAGCTTTTCGGATCCGTGCTGAGATTTCATCGCCAATCAGTCCGTTGGTGCTAATACAACTTCCCAAGTAGGTGAAGTGGTCAACATGTTCTATCACTTCACTCCCTATCACTAAGCTAGGAGTTGACGTGGTCCAGTCCTGTAGCAGCATCTTACATTTTGTAGGGGCGAATCGCATGCCAAACATACGAAGATTGCTGCTCAAGTGTTCAGAAGACTCTGCATTTTGTCACCATCCTCCCCTAACAGGACTATGTCATCTGCATATTCTAAGTCCATTAGATTATTCCCTGGTAACAAGTCGATTCCTAAGTCACTACGTTCAGTTGAGGATACTTCCGTTAGCATATCTATGACGAAGTTAAACAGAAATGGGGAAAGTGGACATCCCTGTCGGACACCACTGGTTGTTATCAATTCAGATGACAATTCCCCATAAGCCTTTACACGTCTACGTGAGTTTGAATAGAATGCCTTGATTAGTGCAATGTACTTTCTTGGAATATTTCCAAATTTGAATAACAGTGAACTTATTTACGTATGCAAACCTGTGTAATCAGAAAATTCATAGCACAGGGTTAATTCAATTGCTAAAGCATATACCTGCAATTGTATGTAAGTCATCTTATCTCTGAATAAGTTTGATATTTTGACTAGTATTTTATTTCTTCAGTTTACCATTTAATCTGTACCATTAAAAAAAGCCTCATTAATCTGTGCGTAGAACAAGTTAAATTATTTCTTAAAATGATCTTTGCCTTACATAATTACAGTTTATTTCTCCTATACTGCTTACGATACACTTAAGTACACAAAAATAGACGGAATGGAATGCCAGTGAGGTGTCAACCGCGCATAAAAAGCTGAGATTCTCCCGTAAATATCTCCAAATAATTTTTGGTTTTCAGTCGGATTTTATGCCTGCTATTTACCTTTTACTGAGTACTGGTCTCACGAGTAGTAGTTAAATACTTTCGTCTTGCAGGCTGGTGTAAACACAATATATAAAACACTTTAAATATGCATCCAGCTAGTGTTTTGGAAAGACACACAACTTACAAAATTTGTTTAGACAATCGTGTATTAGACAACAAATTACATTTATCAAGTCAATAGACTATTAGTAAGTAGAGCTACATATCAACTATTAACTTACTGACTGCGGGATCAACGCTAGAAACAATGAGCTGCAGTTCTGTATCTAAGCTTTTAACTAATAGGGTGCATGAAACTAAATATATGAGGTGTGCAATCCCTAAAAGGCTATAAATATATCAATTAACTGTCTGTTCCTCTTAAAAAACAAGATGAAGGGATATACGAATACTTGACTGACAACCAGGACACATATAGATGATGTGGAAATGAACAACAGTACTACCCATTCATTAATATGCATGCTCAAAAGTTTCAGTGGATATAAGGAGTCCTAACTTATGATGAAAAATCCTCGCTACCGAAAAGAATAGATCACTTACCAGTCATAATTTACTTTATCTATAACATATAAACCACAGGATTTAATAGGAACTTATTTCCAAAAGCCACTGTAATCATTCGCAACGTGGGACTAATAGGGTGAATAATTACACGGAAACTTGTAAGTATACACGAAAGTATGTATGATAGCAAGGAGTGAGTAGACCTTCACCACGGTGAATGGTTTTCAGTTAATTCAATACGAACCTCTGTAAGCTGATATTTAGCGTTAATGACTTAACGGAATGGTGCTGCTTTGATTACCTCTAACACTTCCAATCTAAGCCAAACTCGTCTAATATTGCTCGTCTAGGAAGGCAATAGAAATCTTACAAACAGTTTGTGTTGTCAGATAGCATAAATTTAGTCCCTCTGTTGATAAGTGCCAATCAAAGTGATTTTATAATGAGCTGTACTATTTTTCCACATGCTTTAGTGAGCGTCATTACTATCGCTCCCAGAAGTATCACCTAATACCTCTATCAATCTAATATACGTCAAAACCACATGTCTATAATAGAATATATCTATGATGTAATATATCTATAATAGAATCACTACAAAATATGTCTAAATTTCAACGAAACTAAAAAGATTACAGTGACATACCCCAACTGTACAAGGAATTCATACATACGTCGTTGTCCTCCTTCGGTAAAAAGTTTAAATTTGGACGCTGTAACCATGCTGGTTTCCATAGTTTCCTTTAAACTCCAATGCCTGTAAAGCCATAAGGCTAACTCATCTTCAAACATAATTTCAATTCTAGCCTTATTTTCATCATTTGTACTTGTTCCAGAGTGGATTTGACCAACATGGCTCAAGCGACTCATGTGGCTTTGTAAATAATCTAGTTGATCAATATAATGCTCGCGATTTATGGCATGAGTAATAAGCTGAGAAGTTTGACCCACTATTCCGTACCTTCAAACACAACAAAAACAGTGAGATAATTGAAATCAATTTGCAAAACATATAAAATATTATGCGGTGCTATGGAAAACATTTATACATTTGCAAAGTAAATGCTTTGAGAATGACTGTTGCATATGAGGAAAATTGTTGATTCAAAGCTACAACATACGATTAAGATTCATAGCCTTCGACTTCACAATGATCTAAGTTGCGTCAGGAAACTTTAAAAGACTTTAACTTGCCTAAATGTGGTAGCTTAAAGTGATACACTTTGTACAAAGTTATAGATTGTATCCGGAGTTCGTCGCTCTTAAAAAACCAAAGAGACAGTAAAGTAAGTAAAAGACAGAAATACTACAAAAACAAGATGATAAGGTAGAGATGCATCTACTGAATTTCTACCAATCCTTATCTATAGTGATGAGTTCTACCACAAATTTCTGTAATCAGTCTCAATCCTCTAAACAGCCTTGACTATAAATCAGGGAATTCGGGGATTTCACGGTGTAGCTACTCTTGGTTCCTTTCCAACCTAACTAACAGAACTGCACAGACGTGTAAATTTACGCTAGGATGATAAACAACTTTGATCCCAATTGAGTAAAAATGCCAATTAAAAAATTTTAAAAGACTAACTACTGAACAAAGTATATCGCTTTCGATAACTTTTTCATCAGATTCTACAGTTATATGTCCACAATAATTACAGAACTAGTTACAAACATTAATGTTTTAAATACCGTTGGGTCAACAATATCGACAGATTAAAGTTCACAAGTATCTATAATCAATAATATGCATAACTATAAAGCTGAAGTGAATATAAGTTAAGATGATAAAGGATTTATAGGTTCAACAGCAAACCAGGGTATCAACAGCGGCTGAACCTGCTTTCTCTGCACTCAGAGCTCCAGTTGTCGTAAGCGAGTTGCAATGGCTTCTGCTATTTGGAGTATCTAGTATCTACAGGCTTTCAGGAAAATACTCGGTACCCAGTAGATGATACAAAAACTCTTCAATACCAGCTTCATAGACTTTCGACCGGGTGGTCGAATATCGAGCTTTTGATGGTTTAACCATGCCTTTTTTAACCAGTGGTAGGTTCCTAAGCACGTGAAACTAAGTTTTTCGAATAACGGCCAATATGGAAATATAAGTGTAGGACTTGATGATGAAGTTATCGGAAAGAATGTAATTTGTTCACCAATCAGTTTTTTTAAGATTTTGATTCTATCAAGAAATAACCGCACTGCTAAGTGATAACCCTACTTAATGACAAAGTAGTGTATGTATATCAGTCACTTGTAGATGTTTGACAATGAATTGTCCAAATACTTGGGAAATAAACATTTTATTGCCTCAGTTTATCTATGTATACTATGCTTGATAAGCATTATAATCATGAAGGTAACAAAACGAATAGAAAAGTTGATTTTAAGTATACCACATTCATTATATTTCAGCCAGTCATGAAAAATTGCAAGCAGCGTGGCTTACAGCCTTAGTTGACAATGGAAAACAAAATACCCAAGGGAGAACTGACAAACAGTTCCCTTTTCATCAACGAATACAAAGGCATTGATAACAGTGAACATGAAGTCTTCAGAGCAGACTCTAACGTCAATTTTCAACAGAAAGAAATGTTAGCATCCCAAAGATACCCAGAAGCATGCGTCGGTTGAAGTGAACCAATCTCAAAATAGAGCGCCGGACTAAATACGTGGTTAAAAGAGTAATCAGATGGAGAATAAAGAGGACATGACGGAAACGGGCGACTGTAAAGTGGGGAATTTATCTGCGTGCCTAAGTGCAATGATATTAGTCTTTAAAATATGGATACACCACTTGAGTCATATATATTGTAAATTCAGTCAACGACCCATAATGTTCCGTTATACACCAGAATCTTTGCAAGTAACATCACTACTGACTATCTAGCAACCTTCAATAACATGAAGCCAGATGAAATTTATCTACAGAATCTGTATAAATCTAACTTTGAATGCACTGATTTCAAAAAGATGCAGTGATTCAAAACCCACCCTTACTTTAAACTGAGAAGACGTGACTGTAGAGATTATCAAACGAAATTTAATGAAACCAAACTGAAATTGTTAATGATGCTGTAAATAGTAAGAAATTCATAAGTAACATTGAACATCTTATCACAAAGTAAGCACCACAGTAACCATAAGTAATAGTAAGAACCCAAGTGGTTAAGAATTCTGTATCGATCAGAAAAAAATAAGCTACTATAATCCCTTTAGAATAATACCCTCAACCGTCTCTAAGTACTACAAGAAATGATAATTAGCCCTTACCGCCAAACTCATTACTCTGAAACATGTTTTTACGTCAAAGAATAAGCCGCAATCATTGTGAAGGACGATGAAACTACACTGTTACCCGGCCGAAGTAGTTAGGGGCATTCGAATTTAAAGACCACTGGCTGAAATTCGAGTGTTAAAGCCCATGAGCCATATCTTCATCTTCGACAATGAAAATTATGTCGAGGTGCAAACATAAAAGTAGCCCAGCCTATACCTCATGTTGGCTACTACATTTAAGAAGAGGGGTACAGACAAGATATATGAATATACCTAAAAACACTAAATCATCAGCTAAGAATAGCCTATTTTGAGAAGCAGCAACTAGGTTGAGGCCATAAGCAAGAAAGTCGATAGATATTAAATCTTACAATTAAATGAAAACCTTGTTATAAACGAATTACTAACCACAGTAGACAATTATTTTCCTGGGATAATTTCCATGCTAGGTCAAACATCACAACAGAAGATGCGACACTATAGTATGAGAAGCTTTCGTAGTCCATAAGAAGTTCCTGTCTTCTTCTGTTCCATCTTCGTTTTTCGATCCTTTTTTCAACATCTTCAGGTCTCAACTTTTTGCTTTGTTCCTCATCAGAATCCTCATCCGAGTCACCGCTCTGAAACATGAATTCTAACATACTATCTTACCGAGAAATCCTGGAAAACTTCTTCGAATTTAGGCACTAACGATGTATCCTCATTTAGACACATAAGTTTGACCTGTCGCTGGTTATAAAAATTGTTTACGTGAATCGGGCGGTGACTACACTGTAAACAAAAAAATTCTACTCACCTATCACAGACATAGAAAATACACTCTTCCGAAGGATTCAAGTTGCCTACGATATCGAAATTCGCCCCACAGTTTATTAGCAACACAACCTGAAACTATAACAAATAGTTAGAAGAGAAGATGAAACCAACAGAGTCATGATTTGTCATATAAGCCTCCTTGAGATCACTCTTATCTTTGACAACCACAAGCGTGTAAAGTACATCCCGATGTCTGAAGAGTTCCTAAAGTATAAGTACACTTTATACAAAGTGAAAACACCTTTAAAATCTTCCAAGTACACAGACCATCCACATCGGGACAAACGCAAACAAGAACTCGCTATAGGTTCCAGGTAAATTTAAGCGCATACTTACCTTCCCAATAATGTCATTATAAAATTCTGATCTTACATCACGTAAGATTACCATTACTATCACCAACAAATACTTATGACAAGTACACCGAGCACTTCATAATAACCGGTCACCACTTAATCTACGATTATCGGTTTGGTTAATCAATCTTCAATTTGTACCCGAATACATGGTATTTTCAGCATAAGAAATATATCTCAGAAGACGTAATATGGAAGAACCTTTGTCATATCAAAAAAATAGCTCAATGACTTGGATTTCGAAAGAATCAAGCGAGAAGTTTATAGCAAATGAAAGCCAAGTTGCATGATGTGAAGGATGTGTTACAGTTTCTGCAACCAAAAATGTCAGCGCGTGATGAGTGTGAATTTAAATCTTTTTTCATCAGTATGCTTCAGTCATCCTTGTTACTCATGGCTTTTCAGAAATGATAATTCACAATGTATGGGCCAACTACATAACAAGCTTTATGTAGGAGCTGTTCTACTTCATAATAAGCTTCATCTTAGTGTGTCTGTGACTGTTTTGTCGAAGACTTTGCAGAGGACAGCATATTTTGTGACATCAAATTCAGTGTTTGTAAACCTCGTGCGAATATTACATACTCACGAATTTACTTGATCACTCTTTTATCCGGCTGGGGCTAAGCCAGGAAAAAGTTAGGCTGGGCATCAGTCTAGCGATCTCACTCCATAAAATTTATCAAATCACATCTCAAATTTCAAGTTATAATGATAATAATAATAATAATGTATATTCTCATATAAACATATAAATTCACATGAAAATGCATGCCATTTTTACAGGCACGATCAAGTATGATATAATATCAAATCGTAGATTGTCTACAAGTTAATAATGTTTCAACAGTTAAATATTTGATATATATATAAATACGCATTGTCTGAACTAGGCTGTATAGTTATTGAATTGTACAGTTGTCCTCCAGGTTGAGCGGGAAAATCGACTTCGTTTCGTTCTCATCCCGTGCTTGTAGACATACGATAACCAACCAATATTGAGGTAAGTACAACTTCTACAAGGGATTGAAAGCTGTTTTAGAAAAGTAAAAGTGCTGAGGTGAATCATTAAATTGTAATGAAATAGGTAAGTGCAAGTATCATTAATAAATGCATTAAAAAAAAAAGAAAACTCCCTAGGCTGACAACGTTCATTTGCAATGTATAATGCTACACGTATATCTCGTACTATCATGATGTCCACTTTTGGTTTTAATACATTTATCCTCAGTTGTGCCAGTTGTTTTGTTTTATACCTTTTTGTGCATTTAGTGTACAACCGTACCCTTCAGAGAGTAGGAATATAATAAGTCATAAAGAGCTGTAAAATGTTAGGTTTAATGGGATATAATGAGGATAAAGTAAAGACGTTATTGGAAAATGAATCAGATAAGACATTGTGAAGTGGTATTTAAAGATCAGTCAATGGACAGCAAGTTAGTTTATAAGATGCCCCATAAATCTGTGTATTATAACTGAATTTGTGCGTCTATGAAACGAGGGACTGGATGCGAAACGGTTGATGACACCCTACTGGAATGTAGTCAGACGACGTATCTTTGGAGGAAATAAAAATAAGAATGTGAACATGAAACGCCTTCACAGTGTCTGAAGCTAAAGAGGCTGCTGATGCCGAAAAAAGTAGGAAGATAGAAGTGATAGCACAGCGATAAAAGTATACTCTCCAAATCATCCCATGGATAGCCGAAAATTAGCTTTATTTTTCCAGTATACAACCAACAGTATGTCTATTAGGTTATACCCAAAGCTCGTATGCAGTGATAACCAATCTCCATTAGGATATTAACAGAGTGAAGGCGAATAATTCCTGAAAATTTTTACCCGACATCATTCTCCCTCAGCAAACAATGCCGGACTTCACTGCTCCAGTAGACTCGCTTAGGGGGAGGGGGTTACCGTCAAACAACAAAGCCATTTTGAGCGCCGTCGTCCAACGCTCTTTTGTTGGTAGACGATCCCTACCTAGCTAAGCTACCATCACCACACTGTTTTCACCCTAAAATACATTTCCTATTACGGATGAACGACCTAATATTTGCATTCTTACTTGCTTTAAAAAGAATAAATACTTAAGGATTTTGAAGGTGATGACTTCCGTACATCTATATTGCAGCGTTCGATAATTTCCAAAATTATTAGCCAAAGCGCTCATCACTGAACATTGGATGCTGACCCTCACTGTTTAAGTCTACTCGTTTAAAGGAAGGTTCACGGTCAACCACCCACTCAATTCTTCACGCTGCCGTGTCACGTTCGTCCGCCCGTGCACGATCTTAAGCAAGTTAAGCAATCATCTTCGCGGTCCCGAATATGCTTTGTAATTTGAATGTCCTATTCCGGTGTTTCGCTTTGCCTTTGCTCTACGCGGAACCAATACTACAGAAGTGTGTTATATCTTGCATTAGTATACTTCATACCATCCGTTAACGTCAACACCCTCAGCCTCTATAATACCATATTTTTTACGAATGCATCCATATCCTTTCTCTCCTTTAGACAGTAATATACAACTCAAAATATAGGCAATTTACCGTTATCTAATGCGAGGCTGCTTGAATGTGGGCCAATGTTAAGAAAAAACTTCCGTAGATAACTGAGACACATGAACCGAAAGAACCGTGTATAAATGGTCATATCGAACTCTAGTCAGTTGTATGAATGCCGAAATTGTGAACCATACAGTAAAAGAACCTATTGTTGGCCTAGTGGTACTCGGAGAAACGAATAGGAACAGCGAAATATCAGATTCCCGCACCTTGAATGATTTGGTGATTGGAGGAAATGTATCCATGTATGAGGATACTCAAAAAGTGACGTTAGTCGTAGTAGATGAACCCAGTGATTATCAGACAGACTTCATTTCGGCTGCGAGAAGTGGAGACGAAGTAATAGGGACGAAAAACGGAGAAGAGAAGCAAATGCGGATGAGACCATTGTCTAGTGCATGAAGCCTTCGAGACCAAGTTGAAAGCCATTAAAACAAAACAGGAGATGGTCTACAGCAACCACTGACTGGACAAAGGAACAATAATGGTCCACTTCGTTGTTATTATCTGCAGAATTCAAATAGCTTTGAAAAAATCACACAGACGAACAGAATAGAAGAGCTCTAAATCTCTTCAAACGTCACGCGAAACGAAAATTGCATGTGCATCTTGTACAAGAGAGACAATAAAAACAGCTGCCCGCCCACACCTAAGAGTGGATAGATCAGAGAAAGATGACGAAACAGAAAATGAACCGGTGTAGAGATAAGCGATGAAAGTAGAAACTGAAAAGAGTGTTAAAAAACAAAATAAGAGCTTGTGTAGTGCTGGAAACTTGAGTGTAACTGGTGGTGGCTAAGAATATCATCCCTACCGTAGTCTACAGTAGGACGTAGATTGATTTTAGGCAGTCCCGCCTCTGAAATAAAAGATATTCCGCCGGATGCGTTCCTGGTGTGGAAATGCGTATCAAGATGATCTTATTTGGGAAACTATAAAAGGAAGCAACTATATGAAACCCCGTCATTTCCCACTTTCTAGGAGGTCGATTCCATAGGGCCACTAAATTAAATGGGTTCATTTATCAACAGCAGACGGATATGCCATTTTTGAAAATATCAGAAAATTAAATCAACCGTTCTTATCAGCTTGGTCAAGATTGACCTGAACACAAATAAATCATTTTCGGCTTTGCTAACCTACACCTTTTTTTTCGGTATTTTTGAGATGATAAAATGCAAACCTCAAAGATGAGTCTCTTACCTAAACTTCATAAATTCTTGAAACTGTGATGATATTTCACAGAATCGTTTTAGGTACTCCATAGAACATAACGTCGCCTACAGTGTTTGAAGATGAATGAGGTACATTTCCTACTTGAACTAACCAGTGAATAGTTTAGTTTGTATGTTTACATATATTCGCTTCGATGTTGTCTTCTGTATCTGATGAGAGTCTTTGTATCTAAGATTTAACCTTGAGTAACAATCAGAAGCAGGTAGATAAGAGATGCATCCCCTATGGCATTCTAGAGGGTCGAATACTCCTTCTGTCTAGTTGAAATTTAGCTCGATTATTTGATGCATAGAAATGATGGTCATCATCATAACGGTAGACAGCTGAAAATCCTATGCTACCAGAATTTCAATTCATTTAAATGCCTAAACTTCTTCATTTCTTATTGTTTTAATCATGGAACTATATCGGATGATCACTACATGAACTTGCTCACATATTTTGTTAGCTTTTAGCAAAACGCCGTGTAATTCTTTGGGGAAATCTAGAGAAAAAGGTACAGAGACAGACCTGTCCTTGTCTGCAGCGAAACAACATCGCATTATGTACCTCAGTTTACTACTTTAGATGTAAAACACGTATGAATACGAAATATTTTGGAAATGAACGTGCTGAGAACTTCTGTATTATGGGCTTACATACTGCGTGGAACTAAGCTTTATTATCATTATAATATTAAAATATTATTCGATCACCTAAATGGAAACAGTTGAGCTCTCATAACTTTATCGGGGACTCTGTGAGTGTATCACCTCCGGATGACTGTTATTGGTGGGATCCACATGTTCTATTCAGTAACAGCAATCCTGGTCTTTAGAGGTTGTTAGAATCTCTTATACAGCAACTTCTAACTTATTAATTCTCGCGTACCAAAGGCAAAGCAAAAGACAATATTTGATAGTCCAAATTACGCGATATATTTCGGGGCCAAAACAAGCCGTCAGACGAACGCTTAGATGGCTATTGATCGTGCACGCACATGACACGATGGGGTACCGAATGGCGAGGATGCTTGACCGGAAGCCTTCAGCTAAAGAAGTCGACTTAAACAGTGGTGGTCAGCATCCAATGTTGAGTGGTTGCTGTGGTCAATAATTTCGGGGAATTATTTACCGCTACAGCTCAATTCGTTAAGAGGAAACTTGAAAATAACGGCTAATTAAGCTAAAAAATGCGTGGATTAATTTGCGTTGAAATTCATCACTTTTGCGCACTTCATATCTTACAAAGGTTATTATTCACTCATGTTCTTGGCGCTTATGTCTCAATTTTAATTATTTCTCAAGGTCGTAATTGGCGGTGTGCTTAAATCGGGGGATGACTGTCGGTTGTGTGTACAATCAGGGGCGTTTCCCTGTACCTCCTAAATTCGATTTTAGGTATGTGACCTCAAATTTTTGATTTTCATATCAGGGTCTTGCCTTTGCGAGGGAGAAAAGTTACTGTAGTTTCGATCATTGGAGACTATGACATATTACTTGGCGAATCTCAATTTGTTAATATATTCAGTTACATTGGGAAAAAATTTCCCCTTCACGTAACTTTAAATCATTGCTTGTTTATTTCCTTCAGGGAATTCCTAGGGTACGATTTAGTTCGTTTTAGTCTTACTCTTCAGAATTATGTCGAAGGTTACTATGACTGCGATAACCAGGTCATATTTTTGATCTTCAACCACTTGCAACTAGAAAGTTTGTTCAGAGGTTATGAAAATCGTTCACAGACATCTGAACGAACAACGAAACTTCTTGATTATACTCTCCTGAAAGTCTTATATTTCCTCCTTATTGTATCTCATTTTATTGTTGTAAGTGTTTATTTTTATGCTGATCAGAACAGATTACTTGCATAGGAACAAACCTGAGTCCAGACTTTATCCGCATATTTAAATTGTTGGATAAAATCAGGTAAGTGAGGTTTTTATTATTGAACTGCCAGAATAAGAATGTGTTCTTCAGTTGATAATTATATTCGTGATCTCCCTCTACCTCGAGAGTGGTTAAACAACGGACGTGCTTCTGTTCCAAGACTACTTTTCGTTTTCAAACTTCGACCTGCTCAACTTAGAATGATGAAGGTATGTTATAGAATGCTTACAACAGTATTTTGTCTATGTCAACTGTGGTAAATCATTGTTACTTCTATAGTTTTATAGATAGTTTGTTTTTATTATCCTTTTCATGCGGAAAAGAGTGTAGCTTATATGAAAGGAAGTCATACCTGATAGTATTCAATTAACTCATGAAGTGACGCATTGCTTTATTCGTTTAATGTGTTCTTGCTAATAAATGTGTCGTTGGGTGTTTTTCTGAAGAGCCACACTTTTTTTCCCTTAATTGGTCTGTCAAAATACCCAGGTTCTTAAATAGGGTGAATGGTGTCAAAATTGGGAATACTTAATATCTGACTGGATTTTCATAAATTTGAGAAATGATTGTTATGTATATATTGACGGTCCTACAGAAACTATTCACCCCTAGTTGAGATGTGTGTAGAAAATCAAAGCATCTACCCACCCTTAGAAAAGTTATAACTCATAAAGTATACATTGGAATTAAATACTCAGTTTTTTAGTTGATGCTCGTACATATTCTCTCATCATTATCTAGTTGGGTGTCAGCACCCATGTAATACAGTAAACATATAACAATTGTGGCACCTTATTCAGTGAATAAGTGTGCTAAAATGGCTTTTTTTTACTCATTACGACCTGATGAAAATTTTCACCTTCATTCATCTCAACTAAATAACATAGAATTTTCGGTTTTGGACATTCTACTTAGTCATATTGTTTTCTCTCGGCCGATAGCTACTACCTTGACGTGGTGGTCGGGCTTGCATATCACGATGACCCAACAAGCTACACTGGCTGGAGCCAATGTTCCTGCAGGTCTTACCATGCCGTGAAGATTTTTAGGATAACGATTAGACTAAAAGCAGTTATCGGTGTAGTGTAAGAAATTTTTACACTGTGCTGGTAGTCTGTGGGCAAATTCATACTGCTGGTGAACAGGGATGTAACAACAGGGAGGTGTTTCCCGCAGATGACCAGCATACCACCCAACCATGCTGTCTCTCCACTCTGGATAGGGGGCTAGGAAAGGTCGACTCCAAAAATTGTACATCCCGGCTTACCCTACGGTGGTCTTTAACCGGCGGTAAATTTATTAATGCCTAACCAAACCGAAAAGACAGCTTACGCAGTCTGTGAGAGACCAGCGGCAACAGTGAAGAATAGACATCAAAGTCAAATGGTCTTGAATCAGTCAAATATATTCTTCCAGGTTAAAAGTGGTGTTCACTTTTATAAAAAAAAGTGTATTTATAAGACATATGTAGTGAAACTGAATTATGGTACATATATCTTTAAGATGCTGTAAAAACTGGTTCCAGTTTCTCAAAGGAGTATCTGTAGACATATCAAACCAATGTCAATACAAAACAATCTAAGTGGCTGTATATCATATCATATCGGGCGCCATTTACCACCATAGAACGCTCTTTTAGATGGACCCAGAATCCTTCAATAGAATTTGTATGAGTTCCATTTATAGGATTTACTAATTCAGGAGTATAGTTGACTTTTTGATGAACATAGTCTAATGATGATCGTTGAGAATAACCTTTCCACTTGAGTGTATGAATGGCAGTTCCTAGTCGTTGTATTACCGGTATTAAAACATCTAGGTGAAAATTGCAACGAAAACTATGAACAACATCCATGTGTAATGCCGAGCCATCTTATTGGTTGATTCAAGACCATTTAACTTTGGTGTCTATTCTTTACTGTTGCCGGTATCCAAAAAATCAATCAACTTCCACGGTGTGGGGAGCCGGGGAGCAACAACCGCCCACACACTTCTAAAAGCACACAAGGCCCTTCTGATCATCATTCTTCCTCATCCCTGTCACCTTCATGATCTTGCCTCCCTACTGCTGTCAGTACTATTCTGCAAGCTGGTAAGTCATCTCCATTTCATTCAGTGATCAAAAGTAGCGATAAGAGCGATAGAAACACTCCCCGACAGCCCCTTAAAGCCACATCGCCAAATTCACATCGCAGCATTTAACGTCAGGACTTTGCCAAATCGAACAACAGGCATCACTAACCAGTACTCTGGCATTCCGAGCCATATATATGTTTCGGAGACGTATATGCAAGACCCAAGTGTGGTTATTTACTTCACCCCACTCAGCTAACAAGGTGAATCTGCGAAGTTCATCTTAAGGGTGTTAGGAGACTCCTCAGTTAGTTTGCAAGGACTCGAAGGTTTAGGGATAGCATTGAGTTCATAGATGTCTGCGATCTGTGTCTCACGTTAGGTGGTATAATAAGGTAAGTAATGTTGACGTTAGGCGTAGTGTTGGGCAAAGAAGGAAAATCAATCGATGAGGCTATAAAGTTACATAGATTGAGATGGCTAGGCCACGTGCTGCGCATGCCTAACCATCGCCTCTCCCGATGGGCATTACTAGCTGATATAGGTTCAGGTTGGAAAAGAGCCAGTGGTGGCCAAACAAAAACATAGCATCAATCCATGAAATCCTTGACAGTTAGACTGAGTCAGGTAGGGAGATGCATACTTCCGGGTTGGGGCCCTCGCGACTCTAGGAATCAATGGCTGGAGACAATAGGTGACATGGCTCAAAATCGTTGTCAATGGCGCAGATGTATTCAGTCTCTGTAATCTTTCATATTCCTTTCTACCATTACCCATTCTGTTTCACTCTTATATTTGTCAAACTCTACTAATTCTCTTCACTCATCTTCTTGTATACCTCTGTGTGCTATTTGGAACGTGGCAACTCGAACTGGTGCACTTCGGAGCCAAGTTCTATGTTGAATCCAGACAGACAGATAGATTGAGTTTGATGGCAGAAAAATCGCTTCTTGACTGGATCCCAGTAGATAGTCGTATGTGTGCCGTCCATCTGAACAGGTCCGTTAGAAGAAGGGAAACAGAGTCACTCATCGTCTTTTCATAGTCTCCACTTACGCCCCAACCTACTGCAGTTCAGATGTACTAAAGGATGATTTTTACTAGGAACTGTCTAGTTTGTTGCAAGAAACAAAACGTTCAGATATAGTTGTTTTAGCAGGCGACTTAAATGCCCAAGTAGGAAATTTATGTCAGACTGAGAAGTATATAGGTGGTACGTACGGAATTCCCTGCTGACGAGCCGACAACGGTCATCGTCTTCTACAGTTCTGTTCAGATAATCATCTGTTCCTTGTCAGCACCAACTTTAAGAAGAACGAGAAACATTGCGTAAGCTGGCTACCTCCATCATTAAATAAACGTTGGTCTCAAACAGACCACGTGGCGATAGGGTATCGTTGGCAAGGGTGAGTAGGAGACTGTCTACTTTCTGCGTAGACCACTAATACTTCCCCACTCAGTTTACTACTGAAGCTATTGCCTTTATCTCATCTTTCACCGTCGTTGCTCACTCAGTCATGTGGTAAAGTTCTAAGAATCATTCACCTTTTGTTGTTGTTGTTCCAAGTAGAGCTGGTCGGACTGTGTTACTCTCATCGACTTACTACATCTTATTACTGTCTCCCATTTCTTTACAAAGTGATCCATCTGAATATTCAGTTTCTGTTTTCCGTTGATATCCTCCTCATTAGAAAAACTGTTTAGACTGGTGCAATAATGTATCGCTTCTTACCTTTGTGAAAATTCATTTTATTTTACAATATTGGAGATGACTTATAGCTAACTTAGCCGTCTGTCTTTAATGTTGTTGTGTTGTCTAACCTGAATAGTTCAATTTTGGAGTAAGCACTGAAAATATCGTATAGGACAATAACTGCATCGAGAGCAAACTATCTATATATCTATCTTTCTATCCCAAAAACATGCATACGAGAAAAAAAATCATTTTATTGAATATTCATTTTCAGGTCTACAATTGAATCTACCGTAATTCTTTCATATATTTACTTTTAGGATTGGAAGATGGTTAAACGGTTAGAACCGAAAATTGTTACTCAAATATTCAATACATTTTATGAAACTGGTCTTATTAGCACGTAAGCTTGATTATAAGTGTATCCTTATGTGTATATATTTGTGATCCTAAAACTTTCATAACTATATAATTCCAGATTTTCTCTCTCCACTGTTGAGGATTTATAAGTTATTCTTTTATTGCGAACTCACAGAAAACCAAATTCAAATCATAGGAATTTTGATATGCCCGGTTTTTTCCTACTGTTGATTATAGTACAGATTCTTTTAAAGAAAATCCATATAAACTCGAATTTGTAACAATTTTTTCAAACTCTAAGGTATAGATTAGAGTGGCTGTAGAAAAACTTCGTGGATCAGCAAACGACGCTAAAACTGAGTTTTGCTTTGTAAAACAAATTGAAAGTTAAGAGGCTTCATTTAAATGGGCATTAGTTCGAATAGTTTGGATGTTCCGAGGATTGAATTTATTCGTGTCCTGAAGTTATACAAATAATGCGAAATTTTCCAAATAGTTCTGTAACGGAAAAACACAAGATTGGTTGGTAAAGGAATGTTTATTGGCAATTTGAAATAATGTATACCACATATCAAAATCGTCAGGTCTTCAATGTTGTGCTACTTCTGCTCTTCGTATTGTATTTCTTTTTATTCTTTTCGTGTTTTCCATGCTTTTTCCTGCAACACTAGATCATTTCCTCTCGTTGATGTTACATCCCATCTCCCTGCTACTTGATATTTTTATGCCGATATACTACTGCTAAATCTTGTCAGTAGCACCCGCCACAGTACTCCTTTCATGTGCAAGCTTTTCTTTCTGTGATACATAGTGTTGCTCAGCAAAATTCAATTATGTTTTGGTTCATTCCCAATCGATTCTTTCTTGTCTTCGCTACAATAAAGAATCTCTAAATACGGTAGGATTTCATGTGTTGTAGTCATCCCTCGAAACTAAAGTTTTGGGATCCTGATAGCCTTAAGTTCAAGTACATTTCTCTCTGGATTCAACATAGAACTTGGCTCCGAAGTGCACCAGTTCGAGTTGCCACGTTCCAAATAGCACACAGAGGTATACAAGAAGATGAGTGAAGAGAATTAGTAGAGTTTGACAAATATAAGAGTGAAACAGAATGGGTAATGGTAGAAAGGAATATGAAAGATTACAGAGACTGAATACATCTGCGCCATTGACAACGATTTTGAGCCATGTCACCTATTGTCTCCAGCCATTGATTCCTAGAGTCGCGAGGGCCCCAACCCGGAAGTATGCATCTCCCTACCTGACTCAGTTTAACTGTCAAGGATTTCATGGATTGATGCTATGTTTTTGTTTGGCCACCACTTACTCTTTTCCAACCTGAACCTATATCAGCTAGTAATGCCCGTCGGGGATCAAGTACATTAAAAAAAATTAGGTTTGACTTTCTCATTCCAACCCGTCAAGTACCTTGACAATATTAGACAGTAAATAAATTTACACCATACAATTGCATTCCAGTTGGCACCACATATCTTTATTGTTCACTGTGTAAGAATTAATCTTTGTGATTCATATATGTTAGATTCTGGATGGTTTGATGAAGGGGGTCTCCAAGTCAAACAGTATCTCTCCTTGTGTTTGAAGTTAGTGCTTACAAGAAACAAATGATTATCAGAACAGAACTGTAGGAGACGGTCACCGTTGTCGGTTCGCTGGCACGGAACTCCATAGGTGCCACTGACATCCTTCTCAGATTGACACAATTTCCCTACTTGAGCGTTAAAGTCACCAGCTAGAACGACTATGTCTGAGCGTTTAGCCTTTCGCACCAAACTAGACAGCTTTTGGTAGAACTCATCCTTCGTTTCATCCGAACTGCAGTCAGTGGGGGCGTAGGCGGAGATTACGAAAAGGCATCGGCGAGTAGTGCAGTCCTTTCTCCTTTTTAATGATCTGTTCAGACGGACAGCATACATTCAGCTATCTACCGGGATCCAGTCAAGTAATATCTTTTCTGCCCTAGTACTCAAAGCTATCCTTACACCACCTAACCCTCGTGAACAGGCTGTGGCATCTCCTGACACCCTCAAGGTGAATTTCGCAGATTCGTCCTGTTGGCCAGGGGAGGCTAGATGAATAACCACACTTGGGTCTTGTATGTGTGTTTCTGAAACACAGCATACATCAATGGCTCGGGATTCCAGGGTTTTGGCTAGTGATGCTTGTTGTCCTATTTGGCAAAGTGTCCTAACATTAAAAGCTCCTATATGAAATTGGTGGCGTGTCTTTAGGAGGCTGTCGGTGGTGGTTTTTTGGGTTCCATCGTTTTTAGTGGACGCAGAGTGGAGAGGAAGTGGAGAGCTATCAAGTCGAGGAGTTGCGTCAGTGTAAGGAAGGCAAGATGGTAGAGATGAAGATGAAAACAAAGATGAGTGAGTAATAGAGAGGTTTCGCGTGCGTTTCGGATTGTGAGGGCGATTGTTACTTCCCGGCTGCCCACACCGTGGAAGTAGATTCTGGATACTTCTTTTCATATCCAAAAAAAAATCAAGTTGGACGCGAATTGTACACTAAGAAAAGTATATAGAGACGTATGATCTGTTAAATTTAAATTGTTTAGCCCTCCGTCTGCATTGTTTTGCATATAGGAAAAACCCAGTCGTATATGTACCCACAGTTTATGTGACAGATTCTAGAACATAGGCATTCCTACTGGCGTCCAACAATCATTATATTTCTTGACCTAAAGGCAGCTTTCGACTCTATCGATCGAGAAGTTCTCTGGAGATGCTTGGCTGTAAAGGGAATTCCGAGAAAATATATTGCACTGATTAAGGCACTCTACTCGTACTCATACAGCCAGGTGAGGGCTTACGGCGAGCTGTCATCTGAACTGATGACGACCAGTGGTGTCCGTCAAGGATGCTCATTATCTCCTTTTCTATTCAACTTTATCATAGATGTGTTAATGGACTTAACCCTAGGTGACTTCAGCGACTCAGGGATTGACTTGCTACCGGGGAATAATCTCGTTGACTTGGAATATGCAGACGATATAGTCCTTCTAGGCGAAGACGCTGACAAAATGCAGAGTCTTCTGAACACACTGAGCCGCAATCTACGAATGTTTGGCATGCGATTCGCTCCCGCCAAATGCAAGATGATGTTACAGGACTGGACTACATCGACGCCTAGTTTAAAAATAGGAAGTGAAGTGGTAGACCACGTTGACCGCTTCACTTATTTGGGAAGTACCATCAGCCAGTGCCAACGGGTTGATCTCTGACGAAATCTCAGCACGAATACAGGGGGCTCGTTTCGCATTTGCCAGTTTACGCCGACTCTGGCGTAGACGAGATGTTCGACTATCGACCAAAGGGCGGGTGTACTGCTCATCAGTCCGCTCCGTCCTCCTTTATGGTTGTGAGACCTGGCCACTGAGAGTGGAAGACATGAAAAGACTAGCTGTGTTTGATCATAGGTGCCTGCGCTCTATTTCCCGTGTAAAGTGGCATAATAAGGTGAGCAACATGGAGGTTAGGCGTAGAGTTCTAGGTAAACAGGGGAAATCAATCGACGAAGTCGTGAAGCTACAAAGACTGAGATGGTTAGGACATGTGTTACGTATGCCAAGCCATCGCCTCCCTCGACGAGCAATGTTAACGGATATAGGGTCAGGCTGGAAAAAAGCTAGCGGCGGTCAAACAAAAACTTGGCACCAGTCAATGAAATCCACAACAGTTGGTCTAAGCCACGTAGGAAGGTGTAGACTTCCAGGCTGGGGTCCTCGGGACGGTAAAAACCAATGGTTGGAAACAATTGGTGACATGGCTCAAAATCGTTCTCAGTGGCGCAGATGCATCCACTCTTTGTGACTTATGATTTCCAATGAAACTGTTTTGTTCTTCGTTATTACTCCTTTGTCTCACACCTCTGCTTACTGTTTCTATTATGCTTTTCTTATACTTTCTTCTCTTGCTTCGCGTGCTACACGGAGTGTGGCGACTTGAACTTCCGCACATTTGTGCAAAGTTCTATGTCGAAAACAGACAGACAGTTTATGTGTGTAGTTGATCGCATCGTTTTTACTTTCTATTATTTCGAAGCTTTTAGCGTTGCATTCCTTGTTTATGTATTCATTACTATAGACTTGCTTTAACCCCTTTCCTTTTTATATGTCCAAACGAAGTTCACTTCTAATAGTTTGAAAAAATTTGGGCATTGGGTATACGATATACATTGTAATAAAGGTTTTCGTATTTCCCAATGAATGAAAAACAAAACAATATTGTTTTTACTGATGTTTCGCTAGTTAAGGCTGCTGACACCTTTATCAAAGTATTATTTAACCAGAATTTACAAAATCTAAGCTCATATGTAACAACTTAATCATCGTCCCTCAGTATGGGGTGATTTTTGCGTTGTCGAATTGGCCAATTGGTAAAGATAACAAAACCAGGTGTAGATTGTTGAAAAAGTATTCCAAAAACATGAATCTCAACAGTTGTCATTCCATATAAAGCAGAAACGTCAGATGATATCAGAAGAGTACTCAGCAAGCTCGACGTCAGAGTTTTCTTCAAAACATCAGACACACTGCGAAGCAACTTTGTCCATATAAAAGACCAAATCCCTAAAGATTCTCTATTTAGTTGTGTCTATAAAATAAAGTGCTTACAATGTGATGCGACATACATCCGACAAACATCGTGAGAAACCAAAATCACAAGTAATAAGCATCGTAGAGCATCTGTTCGATTACCAAGAAATCCAGTAAGGGAACTAGAAAAGCTTAAAAAATCATCACTCAGCCATAGATCTACACGCTATAGAATCAGGCCACAAAATTTACTGAAATAATCCAGGAAAGGCATTTAAGAAGTCACAAAGAACGTTTAATATCACCAGAAGCACTTCATATCAAATGGAATCCAAATTGTCTGGATATGATGATGGACTAAAACAGAATTTGACCTGAATGCAACACTGCACCCCACCCACCCCCAATGAAGTGACAAAATCAACACGAATGTGATAAGCGATTTCATTATGTAAACATACGCTGCTTTTATAATTTTACACACTTATCAAATCCAACAATCTGCACATGGTTTTATCATTTGTTACCTATTGGCCAATTTGACAACGCAAAAATCACCCCATACTGAGGAACGATGATTAAGTTGTTATATATAAGCTGAGATTTTGTAAATTCTGGTGTAACAATACTTCTACAGAGCTATTAGCATTAAATAGCGAAACGTCAGTTTCATTCATTGGGAAATACAAAAATCTTTTACTTTATGTATCAAATTTTATTCATGAAAAAAAAATCATCACTATTATTTTCACTTTTATCTTCCATAGGATTCCTGCAAATCACCTGTTTATGCTTCCAGGGCATAATTTTGTACATGTTCTTTATGACAATGAATGCACTAATGGAGAAACTAATCGTGGAATATATTGTGATGATTTGGCTCAGCATTATTTTGAATTCATTATGAACAATGTTAGTGACATTTCAAGCTTGTCTGTTGATAAAATCCCTAATCTTACTGGATCTTCAACACTATTTTCATCATCTAGTGAACAGCAAGAACAAGAACAACAATATGACCCAAGAGATTTATTCTCACCACCATCACCATGGAACTATCCTGGACCGGATCAGCCTACAGACCATAGTTTACACTCATTTCTGCGTTTACATGTGTCGAACATGTTCGATCAAGCGATGAATAGAAATCCATCTTATGGTTACACTTCACCAGCCTACGAATTACCAACATGTAAAGCATGGTTCATGGTAAGCTTTGTCATTGCACTTCATTTATTTACAGTTGAATTCACAAAAATATTGAAAGAAAGATTATAAACAATGACATGATTTTATTCCCTTTATGAGAGTGTTTCAAGTATCTTAGTTAGGCGGTGGGTCTCTGTTATGTACTCGTCGACTAGATTATTGTTATGGACTGGTCGAGAAACTAATAGTCCTGACGCGAGAAGGCGGAAATCAGAAGACCACTAGGTTTGCGATGATACTTCTATTGTCCAAACACAAGGAGACGAAAATAAATGGTCTCACACCAAAGTGGTAAGTAAGTAAAGTAGTTCACACAGAATGTGTGAACGAAATATATATATAACAAAATATATATAGCAGACATGTCAAACAACCATATATGGATATATGTCACTAAGCAACGGACTGTCAACAAACACTCATATTATATATAATATAAATGGAATATACATTGTTAAAGGAGACAAGTTCACACAAGTGAAATGGTCACAGACTAAGCGAGCAAACAGAAAGAGAGACCAACATGCACACACACACATAAATATATATGTGGATACATATCAGTTTCTTTTTTCATCTTTTTTACCCATGGAGTTGGTGTTACTCTTAGTGTTACCCTTATTGTTTCATTGTTTTGTCTTTCCTCTTCTGAACTTTGACTGTCGCGTTTGATAATTGTATTGGTATATACCTGTGCGAAATTATACTTTAAGGGCCTTAATATTATGAATAAAAATATTACATAATTTATCGTTAAGGTATCGGTTTGCAAGGATTTGGTTGATTGGTTACAGGATTTCATCATGAGCTAACATTGGTTAGAGAACCATTGAAAAACCAGCTGAAGGAATGGACAGCTGTTTCGTCTTGAACATCAGTGGGATGCACACTGGCGACTGAACCTATTCAAGTAGGTAGTTACTTAGGGTTCTAATGGGAAGTCGTGACCAGTAGGGTACAGTAGGTCGGGTGTGAGGACAAATACTCGCCGAAGACCTTGGTTAGGGGTTGCGCCATATCGTGAATTGGCGGAAGTTGCAATTCATGGGTCATTGGATTGGGTTCTAGTGGCTTAATGGTCTACGAGCTAGCTCGCCCTGTAACCAGAAGGTTCTGAGTACGAACCCAGTTGGTGTGGTTGCGTACTGAACAGTACTCTTACACCAGGACGAAACAGCTGTCCAGTACTCCCAGCTGGTTTTCCAATGGTTCTCTAACCAATGTCAGCTTATAATGAAATCCTGTAACTTATCGTTAAGGTGTTATAAAACGAATTTGCATAATGCAGTATGTTCCAACTATTTCGTCCATTATTGTATAATAACTAGTAATTAGTGTTGCCCATTGTAGCTTTGTGTTTATGGATAATTGTTATGTTGAACTGCAAATTGCACCTTCAAACCTTCGATAGTCACTTGATAGGTATACCTCATAAGCAAATGCATGAATCATTGTCTCATTATTAATAAATCTGTACATTTGAATTGTTAATTGATCAATTAATTAATTTAAAATAAATTTTTAGGCGTGCTATAGGATATATACAAGTTTAATGTCAGATGACCATCTAATTACGGCGCCAAACTCTGGAATGACAAGTGGTCAAAGTAACTCAACATCTTATACAACCGGTGGCAAAGGTACAACAATCGCGGGAATTAGCCTGTCACAATCATGGCATAATACACTGACCTCAATCTTGTGTCCTACACTGACAACATCAACATTGACTGTAGCTCAGAAACAAACACAACAAAAATCCGTTATTGATGAGGAAGAAGATTTGTTAGCCTCAAATTATAGTAATCCTTGGTCTATTACAGATCCAATTAATCGTTTTGCTGCTGTTCGTTATCGAACTGCAATCTCTGCGGCTGAAACGCATTACAAGCAAGATTTACCTGTTCACTATTCGTATACTTACCATATGATTAAAGTAAGTTAACTGTTTGTATTACATTGTAGATTTTTAATTGTCAGAATTATACATTTGCTTTGTAGCTATTTGTTGACTTGACTAGCATTTTCACTTCAAATCGAATCGAAAAGCTATAGGTGGTGTGACTACATAAGGATATAAACTTGACAGACAGTTTGTAACTGATCGTACTGGCTAAAAAGACTCGTAAAGAAAAACTGTTGTGACTTTCTGTGTGGTATTTAGGTTAAAGAATACCTCAGTTAACTTTTCTGCGATCATATGTTTAGTTCAGGTCAACTGCATCTGTCTATTAATACATGTGTAAAGCTTGGACACTGTGGTAGTACACAATACCATATTAATTTGCCTAATAGATATATCACACAGTGAAACAGTTTGGAACACAATTTGTTGTTCATAATCCCATCAATTATAATCAGACAACTTCGAAACCTTCGTTTTATAGTTTTCTTCATCCCTTCCTATTCTTCGTAGGCGTAGTAGGATTTTCCAGATGTCCGGTTGAACACGTGTTGAATCATTCCTATTACAAGTGTTTGCATTTGGTTCGATAAACAAAGCTTCCGTTATCGATCTCTCTCTCTCCACCCTTTTATATTAATTAGATTATATCTTAAAACTGTTATCTTGTCCAATCCTATTGTATAGTTGTGTGTGATTGCATGTAGTTTATTTAGTCAGAAACGGACGTATTTCTGGCCGAGAAATTGAACTTAGAACAAAAGTGCCACCAGAGGACATAATTCTGGTAATGCAGCTATGACTGACTTCCACAGCATCTAAATTCCAAGGGGAGGAGTTGCCATGGGGTTGTGGCTGATATATTCATGGATAGGTGGGGAAACTTGGCGACTGAAACGTTCAGCCCTACCTCAACAGTTTGGTCGTGTGCAGTTGGCACGTTCACATTACTTAGAACACGGTACGTAAATAGATTTTTCGAACACATTGACTGGAAGGGAGAGGCAATTCAGTTCACTTATGAATTGGAAAGTCAGGAAGGGTAGTTCCCAATGTTAGATTGCAACGTAAAAAGGAAAGAAGATGGGAAGTTAAACACTAGTGTTTACAGGAAACCCACACATTCAAACCGATATTTCGATTTCGGATCATCCCATCCTATGTCGGTAAAAATAAGATTGGTAAAATAGGACACAAAAACTAAGTAGTACTTAGAAGAATCTAAGACAGGAAATGAGGCATATAAGAGAACCTTTGAAACTTGATAATTACCCTGATAAATTAGTCAAAAAGTATATAGGGAAATGTGGAAATAAAAATAATCGTGCTGGTATTTATAATAATAATAATATTATTATATAATAATAATAAATGATATTATTATTTGACGACATGCCTGTCAAAGCCGCACAGAATATTGACAAAACCAACAATACGGAATTCAAATCGTCAGTAGTACTTCCATACAAAGAAGAAACCTCGGAAACCAACCCTACGGAGAATTTGTGAGCACTACCATATCTGCTGATCAGCATCCGCCACCCTCCCTCCTTTTTTTGACCGTAACTGAAGTCACAGCACTGCATTGCTTTGAGCCCGTCCCAATTGCACAGTATGCTGCACATTAATAGGTCCCATTTAGTCACCAGATACATCGATACCTAAGGACATTCTTAGCCGCATCACTTTTATACATGCATATACCTATATAAGCATTCTCTACAGGCGACTAGGAAATTAAGTTTCTCTTAAAAATTTATAAAGTATAGAAGTAGTTAGTATCACAGCAACTAAGTTATAGTCTATTTAGTGGAGTTAAATGTGTAGTGGAGGAATTAGTGATAAAATTGTGTAGAATGATCCTGAAGAAAACAGTTGGTTAACAGAATTAGTTATGCTAACTTTTCATGACTGATTTTCATATGGTATGCGTCAGACATTGCAAAGTAACCCATCATTTTATTTCATGTTAAAAATACTGCGAAATGTTATGTAATCATCAGTCAGTGAATTTGTCAAGTCTGAATGCTAATGAGATGCCCACCTACAGAAATCAACGCTACACTGGAATTGGAGAGGCAAGTAGTTGCAAATAGAATTATTTTAAAAAGCAATAAATTGAAGTCTCAAAAAGATTGTTCTGAAGGCTTCCGGTCAAGCATCCACACCATTTAATACTCCGTCGTTACACTTTCGTTCGTGCACGATCCTTAGCTAGTTAAGTAATCATCTCGCACGTCGATTTGGTCCCGACATATATCTGGTAATTTGGACGATCAACTCTTGTGTTTTGCTTTGCCTTTTTCTTCTACGCGGAACGAATACTATAGAAGTTGTGGGTGTTAGATCTTGCGTTAGTATACTTCGTACTATTCTTGAATGTCAACACAGTCAGCCTCTAAAGATGTGTAGGCTTACTGACGGTTAATAATAAAGGTGTGAACTCAAGAAATAATCCAGCTCTTAGACCATTCAGTTACCGGAACCTGATCCGACGGCCCATGTATTCCAACTCCTGCCAGTCCGTGATATATATATATATATATATAGCGCAACTGCCAGTCAGTGTCATCGGTGAGTGACTGATCTCTTATCGGTGGCACAGTGGTTAGGACTCTCGCCGACCATGCACATGGTCCGAGGTTCGATCCCCCGCCGACCCACACCTGATATCTATGGTCGGCCTTCAAAATTTGGGCTACCGATATCCATTCTGAAAATTCCATATTTGTACCGAAAATACAGTGTGGAATCAAGCTGTAATCAAAAATAAAAAAATATATAAAAAATGTAGTTTACAACCATCTTATATCTTGGTTTAACATTTTTCAGGTTGTTTCTGCATATAATGTCGTCATTGGTTTAATCCGTGGTCATTCAGTGTTTCGGTTGTTAGAGAAACTGGCAAATCGACTAACTTATCTCTATGTAGCTGGACGTGTTGTCTGTCCAGCTTTATCGTTAACAGGTCAAACCTGTCAACATGAATTCCATCGTGTACCAGATGATTTGAACACTCTTCAGACTATTCTTTCAACAATAGATGAAAAAAGTAAAGAAGACATTGCAGCTTTTAATGACGATGCGAATTATTCACATCAGCATCAGTATGGATCGAATTCTACTACAAACCAGTTAACTGGAATTGATTTGAAGGCTAAAGAGGAATATATTATTCCTTCTGGTAAGTTATTTTATATGCATAAGGGAAGTTAGTCTATCGCAAAATGATATTATTGTTATAATTATTTCCTTTAATTCCTAGAGGAACATGGGGCTTCAGCCACATGTCTCCACTGTGTTCGGTTCTTCACCAACGTTTTCACCCGGCTTTACCTCTGCCAACATGCTTTCATCTCCTTTTCACATGACCTCCAAGTCACCCTTAGACGACTAACTCGCCGGTTCCCTTTCGGGTTCCACTCGAGAGCCTATCGTGCGATGTCACTTGATGATTTGTTTTCTCAGAGTATGGCCAGTCCATCTCCATCTCCTCCTGCGTATTTGTTGCACAATTGGTTCCTGGTTGGTTCATTCATTGCTAGAGATCCCTCTTTGTTGCTGATCTTTTCTGCCCGGCCATCTGATATTGAGTATTGAGCGAAGATAGCTGTTAATGAAGGTCTCTGATCCGTATAGTAGCACTGGCTTCACATTGGAGTTGGAAATCCGAATCTAGTTTTTCATGTTGAGTGCTGTTGATCTCCGCACAGACTTCAGAAGAATGAAAACTTGTCTTGCTTTCCCGATCCTTGCTTTTTTATACTCATCAGCTCTGTCCGCCTGTAGTTGAAACGATGCTTCCCAGGTAGGTGGTAAAGGAGGTTGTTTCTTTCAGGTTCCTCCCATTAGTGCTGGCTGATTGTTGTCTGTTGTTGTTGGTGTTGCTGTTGGCCAGGAATCTTCATCACCTCTGTTTTCTCTATGTTCACCTGAAGTCCTTCCTATCTTTGATGCTTCTTCTGCCAAATTTTTGCTTTTCACTTGCATATCTTCCAGTTTGTGGGAAATCAGACATACATCATCGGCAAAGTCCAGATCCTTCAAGTTTTTCGTGTGGGTCCATCTTATGCCTGTTTTCTCATTTCCCGCTGTTTGTCGCATTATCCAATCTACTGTAATCCGGAAGATCATTGGCAACTACATATATTAGGAAAAACTGAGATGTAGTGTTGTTCTTTACATTCATTCTGCATACGTTTGAAGTTAGTAAACACTGAACTGATGGGTCCTGACTGACTCATTTAAAACCATAAAATTCCTCTTGTTACTATCAGGTGGTCACTTTGCGTCGTAGAAGAATAAAATGGCACCATCGCTCATTTCGTTGGTTTCTCATCAGCTGCTGGCAACCTAAAGAAGTTATTACGTTTATGTACAGAGATAATTTTAACATACCTAAAGAGTTCAAGTTTAAACAAAAAATAAATATATGGATACAATGCTAATTATAGTAATAATAACTTTATTCTAAAAAGTAACAATCATACAGATTGTAATGTTTCTTTCTGTACACATAAATCAGGTTTCAGACGCTTGATAGAGATTGCTTCAGCATACTTGAGGAAAATTGAGCTGTTTTGTCTATTGATAATTTTGAAGGATCTTACGACGTACACCGTGTCAAGGAGATACCTAGCAGTGCCACTGTTTATTCTCGTTTATTCTCTTGAGAGATGTAGCCTTTTTATGGTACATGTTCAAAAAGTCAGAGGTGTGCCCTTCTTCTTTCTAATTCTTCCCATGTAATTGGTCCCACAGATACATGTGAATTTGCATACAAAGTTAGGGCTAACATGAGAAGGCTATTTATCGACTTTTAGCTGCAACAGGGAGCATGTTGTTCGATAAACGAGAACCAACTCGTCTCTGATTATTGACGTACTGAATCTTCCGTTGACTACTCCTGCAATACTATCACCTTCAAAATCGAGTTAAATGAGGGCAGGCTTTATCCCCACTGTGATTTGTTTGATATCTTTTTTTTTGATTTACAGCTTGATTCCACACTGTATTTTTGGTACAAGTATGGAATTTTCAGAATGGATATCGGTAGCCCAAATTTTGCAGGCCGACCATAGATATCAGGTGTGCGCCGGCGTGGGCTCGAACCCCGGAGCATGTGCATGGTCGGCGAGAGTCCCAACCACTGTGCCACCACTGAGCCCTCATATCTTATGTACTTGTTAATGAATCTCTGGAGATAACCGTTATTTTTCAACATTTTTTCGAGAATCATAAATTCTTCCTATAATTTTCTGTAGAACATATTCTCCTTACTGACTCTGTAAAACAGAGTTTTTACTGAAGCTTGTTTAAAGCTATTTGGACAAAAACTGTCAAAATGCAAGTATTGTCCATTCCACGTCGGATTTTTCTGTAAATCGACCTTTGGAGACTACTATCTTCCAGGCGTTGCATGGCAGTGTCAAGGGAATTGAACTTTCCATCATTTTCATGTTTTATAGTAAATTCAGTATTTGTATGTACCTCGTCGGTGGCGCAGCGGTTAGGACGCTCGCCGACCATGCACATGTTCAGGGGTTCGATCCCTGGCCACAGACGCACTCCTTTACCTCACTAAGCCAGAAATTATGCTGGTAAAGAGGAAAGGTTGGGCATGAGGCTAGCAACCCCATCCTGTAAAATAAACACTGCTACAGAAACTTCAAGCCACTAGCTTGAAGCCCTATGTTCCACTGGGGAACGTGAAGGAAAAAATAATAAATGTGTACCTCGTTGAATAATTCGAGTAGGTTAGAAGCGTGACTTTCATTGTTGCACACTGCAAATGTGTCATCGGCATATCGATAATAAGAAGTTGTTTCGTTGATTTCATGCTTCATCCTTGTTCTTTCAAGGTTGGACATGAAGAGATGTGTGCTAAAACAGGGCTAGGTAAGCTAACCATAGCTACACTATCTGTTAGGCGGTGAAGGACCAAACTGGAATTGTATATCTATTGTACACATTAGCACTAGGCGTTTAAATTCTGACATTGGGAATAGGAGAAAATCAGAATGCTGAAAAATGATCTCGATAGTGTTTTATATACAGGAATACTAAAATTAGGCTCATTATCATGATTGAGATGAATTTCAACCAACTTCACTTAAGATTTCCAGACAATGACTGTACACAGAAGATGCGTAGATTTTTAAATGATTGGGGAACCTTGAATATATTCACTGACCTCTTGCGCTTCGTACAAACTTCTTCATCTTTACTTTTGTTATTTACTCGTCGAGTAGTTAATAGTCCTGACGCGGAAAGAGGGAAATCAGAAGACCACGAGGTTTACGATGATACTTGTATTTTCCAGACAAGGAAGATAAATGCCTTATTGGATGCCCTGGATGACTGGCCCCATTCAAAAAGGCGAATGAACCGGACTCCGGTCACCGGCTGCCAATGGATAGTGGACTCCCTACTCCACTCCTACTGCCTTGTAGGTCACACTTGGTTGTGTAAAGGCTAGAGCTGCACTCTCAAACAAAAGGCCGAGCGATGCTGGGACATCACTCGTACCCAATTCCCATGAAACTTCATGGTTCATGAAGCCGGCTCATCCTCCGTAGGAGATAGCCGAAGTAAAGTAAAGTAAAAGATAAATGCCACACAAGAGTGTGACTGGAAGGGTACTTAGATGTACGAAAATGTGGGAACAAGAAGAATGAACAAGTGTCTAATACAAAAGTATATATGAAAATGGCTAATACACATGAACCAATAAGATAACGTCTTACCATGATTGGTTGTAATGTCATGTGATAACAAGGTCATACACCGTTTATTCAGTTAGTGGACAGGCAAAAGCATAATGTCAGTTATAATGGAATATCGATCCATATACACATAGCAAATGTAATAGACTGTCAAAAACAAAACACATCATGTGTGTACATATCAACTTTAGGGGACTGTAGCCTGCAAAATAGTTCAGTTTCATAACTAAAGACTCTTTTTGTGGAAACAAAATAGTAAAAGTTCTACAAAACATTTAGAAAAGAAACCCTCTTTCTTACTAGTCAGATTCACTAAAACTTTAATGATATCTACTATTATGTTATATTTATTGAAATACAAGCATGGTACATTATGGGCACCAAGAGATGTCCCACGCAAAATCTCATAGCTTGTATGAATGCTGGGATAGTGCCACCCACCGAGCCTTTGACTTGAAGTCTGATCCACTAGGCAGTGGGGCAACGTCAAGTGCTGGGTTACCATGGATGTTGGTGACTAAAATAGGTCCATACACTATTAGGTCCTGGAGCCCCCTATACACAGTTGTTTTGCAACTAGGGCTTTCCAGCTCCGCTAGATGTAGGTCAGAGTGTCCTCCAGTCCAGTTGTAAGCGACAGACGTTCGTATTCGCTCTTTCACTTTTGTGAGGAACACCCCAACCACGCGCATAGGACTTATCTAGCAGAAGCTATGAAGACATAACTACGTGAGAACATTTGGTGAGCAAGACCAAGACCTACCCACCTATGGACCTACCAAGCCGTTTATGGAGGTAAAAACCCACTTCGACCCGGGTGCCTATTATACTAATCCCTCTTAGTAATAGTTTTTGGTTCATCTGGATTGACCCTTGACCGGATATTATTCTGGAACTTTCCCATCCATTTGATATAAATACACAAATGTACAGCCTAGATGATGACTTGGTCGAAAAGAAAATTTTCTTCGCTGCAATTGTAATCTGGATTACTCAGGGCACCTACCTTTCATGTGTCGAGCCAAGAGTTGCGCTTATTCTGTGTCAGGGCCGATGATACTACGCAGTTATCAGGGCTGAGTTAGATAGCACGGAACTGTGAGATCCACTGGTTTAAGTCTAGTGCCTACGCTAGTGAGTCAAATCTCCACTGTAATAATAATAATAGTTTTGTATGTACATGAAATGGCTGAACCTCTTGATACTGATTTTCAACTGTTATGTTTTTTTCCATTCTCTTATACAAAATTAGGTCTCAGTAGAAAATGGAAACGTTATTGGTTAGAATGTGCCATCAAAGATTTAGCAAATACTTCACGACATAAGAAAGTATTAAATAATGAAAAAACCAGTGGTAATACAAATCCAGGTCAACATTTAGCCGTGATGCCGCATCGTTCTAATACCGTGACAATAAGTTCATGTTCTTGTGGTCGTCAACAAGCTGAGCGGCTTGATCCATTTGATTATAAAGAAGCTAATTGGAGATTTTATCATATTCTATCGAATGTTTGTTGTAATAAGGTAAGAAGTATTCACATAACTGTTATTTATTTTTCCTACATCTCATTATGTGAAGCTGTTTTTCACTGATCAAGCTAATGAGCTTTCAATCAGCCGAGTGAGTAACACATTTGAACCTCACTCTGTCTATTATGATGTGAGCAGTCAGTTAGCATTACTTGCTTCAGACACTTGGATTGCTCGTTTGTGTTCCTTCTGAGGCGATTTCTATTTCTCCTTACCTTTTTGTTATGGTAATAATTTCTACTAGCCGTAGATTTCATAGCTGTATTCTGTTTCCCATAGTTATAATGTAAAGAAGTAAAGACCGATGAAAGTCGCATTGTAGGTACATAAATCTGGTATACCTTATTTTCTATGCTTTACTTGCACATTATTTACAAATTGGTCGAATATCACCACATTCACTAGCTTGTTGAATTCTGCACAGTGTTTGTAACGTTCTTCTCACATTCCTTTTCTTTGCTTGCCTTTTTCTAGAGTCCAAAACACATTGTAACTCTTCTGAACTCGTTACTGATATACTACTCATATCTGATTATAAGTAGCACTCGCCACATTAGTTTTGGCATATCAGTACTTCATAACTAAAGTGACAAAATTTGTTATTTTGGTGTAAGAATAAGCATCAATAACATAAAATTGTCATTTCTGCTGAATGTCAGGTAGTTTTAGTGTCTACTAAAAAATTTACAACAGTTTCACAGAAAGTGCTATCGTAGTTTGAGTTTCCTTCTCCGATTCATCAAGCAACCGGGGGAATTACGTCTTGGGGAATGTATGTGTTCGATTATTTTCACAAATATTCATCCTCTTTTGAGAAGAAACCGAATTATCAATCCTCACTAAATTTTGCGCTAAGTTGACTGACTGACCTGCTTCAACAACACAATTAGAAGACGTAGTTTATCTGAACCGTGTAATGTATTTGCGCAACACGTTTTGGACATTCTGATGACACACGTACTTGTCATACACAGTTTTATAGAAGGCAAAGAGGCATGAATCACTTACAATACAAGTCGGATTGTGTTCAGGTCAAGGTCAAAAATAATGGGTAGGGAGATTACGCGAAGATGTGGGTAAGAGAGAAAAAACAAAGATAAGAAGGGTTGAAAATATTATGAAGTAAATTGATCCTTGATTCTAAATTGGATTATTAAGGCAGGTTTAGAGTTTCAATTCTTCACAGAAGTTCAACCGTTCGAGTCGCCAGATAAAGAGGGACAAAAGAGAAGGAGGAAGAGACATGAAAGAACGATAATAAGCACAAATGTGCTATCCAGTGATGCTTGTCGTTGATATTGACTCATGCTGTAAACTGATATAAAATAACCCCCAAAAAGGTCAGTGGTATATACACTGTCTTGGAATAATGGGGATTTTTGATGTGGTTAGCCTAACTACGAAGCCTTCATCACATTTCTAGACAACATCTTCAGTGCAAACTTCAGTGTTAAAGAAACCCCAGTATACTGAGGATTTTTTAAACAGCTGATTAGAATAACACCAGATAGTAATTTGTAGATAATTTTCACTTTATACACCCGACGTTTCGTTATCATAATTTTGGTCCATTGCATTCTTTTGCTTTCTTCAAATACCAGTTAGGTAGTATTCCATTATCTCCACAAATTCTCTCCGATCCACATCATATATTCTGTTTACCAAATGAATTGAATGATGAGGATCATTCACCATGTACTACTGAGAACACAGTATTCAATCCACTCGATGAGAAAAGTATATGCATTTTAACAAAACCCAAAGATTCATCACCATCGAGTTCAAGTCTTACGCATAAATCAGAACAGGAAGAAGAATCTAAGTCAACAATTCATGGTGATAATAACAACAATAATGATAATGTTGTAGGCTTTTCACAGCCTGAGGATAATGACCTATTATTATTGTCAGCGGAATCTAATCATTCAGATTCAAGTGATGAAACGATAAATAGAAAGTCAAGTGATTCAGAAGACTGCCGACATAATGAATACACTGATGCTATTGACAATTTGTGTAAGTCAATGTGTTGCTTAAACTGTTTAAACTTATTCATTAAAGAATACGCTCAAAAGTATTATTATTATTATGATTATTCCCTTACGTTCCGAGCGGCACATTTGTTTTGTTTTCTTCCGTCCTCTTCATCTGGATCCACGATTGACCAATGGCGCAGATGTATTCAGTCTTTGTAATCTTTCATATTCCTTTCTACCATTACCCATTGTGTTTCACTCTTATACTTGTCAAACTCTACTAATTCTCTTCACTCATCTTCTTGTCTACCTTTGTGTGCTATTTGGAACGTGGCAACTCGAACTGGTGCACTTCGGTGCCGAGTTCTATGTTGAATCCAGACAGACAGACAGACGATTGACCAAATTCTCTCATCTCTTCCTCACTAGATCTCCTCTATGTCACTCTCGCACCGACAAACCACTCGTCACTCCCCATTCGGATTCCACTCTAGGGCCCGACGTGCGATGTCATTCAGCGGCCTCCTAAATCTATGCCCGGTCCATCTCCACTTCCCCCTACATATTTGTTGAGCATTCGGCTATTCATTGGTTTGTTCTCAGTCAGAGTTTCTTGTTGTTTATTCTTTCTGGTCATTTGATCTTCAGTATGGAGCCAGCTAGTGAAGGCAGCTGTTGATGAAAGTCTACAGCTGGCTGTTGGAAATCCTTTTCGTGACCCACAGTGCAAGTTTCTGACCCGTATAGAAGAACCGACTTCACATTGGTGTTGATGTTCAAAAGTACTGATTTGTTAATGGTCAGTGTGTATTTCTCACCAATGGAAACGTATCGTCCATGACTTTTTATATTTGGTAACATTCAGTACATGAACTGAGTATTAAGACATATATATGTGAAAATGTAAAAAGTGATAGAAAAAATTATCTTCATCACGTCTGTCTTCTCTATGTTCACTTGGAGTCCTGTCTTCGCTGGTTTTTCCTTCAACCTGTTGATTTTCGCTAATAAATTTTTGAGGTTGTTTGTCACGAAACATAATTCACACCAAAATGTCCAGATTTTTCAGTTTTTCTTTCAGTGTACATCCATCTTCTAGCTTCCCACGGTGTCAGTAGGCAGTCTCGTGTCACTGACGTTTTCACTTCAAAGCTTTTGTTATGTTTCCTGCTGTGAATCACTTGGCATATGACATCATCATTATAGCTACAATGAAGTTAAACGCAGGAGCTTCGAGCTAATCTAGTATGTTTGGGAAATCTATCATTATCATTGCAATCGACGTGAAAAGAAAGTAGTTATCGCATTAATCCTATGTGTATCGGTAGCACAGTGGTTAGGACTCTCGCTGACCATGCACATGGTCCGGGGTTCAATTCGCTGCCGACGCACACCTGATATTTTTTGGTCGGCCTGCAAAATTTGGGCTACCTATATCACATGCTGAAAATTCCATACTTGTACCAAAAATACTGTGTAGTTTCAATCTATAATCAAAAAAACAAAACAAAAAATATATACCTTGACTGCCTCAAAATAAAATGTGCATATTTCATACTGTATATCATGTTCGTATTGCTTCGATGGGAAAATTGTCAGTTTGGTAGGATTCAAACGAAGATTATCACGCCTAGAATTCATACTAACAAGCAACAGTAACGTGGAAAATTCAAGAATTTTATTTTCAATGTTCTCAACAGCTTTTTTTGTCTAATTAAAGAGGTGAATTAAAACGAATCAGAGCAGTGATAGATAGTAAACATCTACTGACAGCTCAACTTGTGCGTATGGGTCTGTACTGATGAAGAGTCCCAAACTAGGACGAAACAGCTGTCCAGTACACTCAGGTCTTCCAATGGTTTTCTAACCAATGTCAGCTTATGATGAGATCCTGTAACCAATCAAATCCCTACAAACCAATACTTGAAAAACATATTTATTTTTCAAGAGTTGATCTGTAAGGATTAGATGTGTTTATGGAGTTTCACCCATGGACTGATATCAGTTAGAGAACAATTGAAGACCAACACTGGAGTACTGGACAGCTGTCTCATCCTAGTTTGGGAATCATCAGCAGTACGCACCCACTGGGTTTCAAACCCAGGACCTTCCAGCTCGAGCTCTTATACCATTCAGCCACTGAAACCCTATTAAATGGCTCATGAATTCTAACTCCTACTAACTCGTGATTTTAGCGCGACTACCAACCAGTGTCATCAGCGAGAAATCGGTCCTCATTCTAGAATAGATGGAGCTCACTGAAAAAGAGACCTTTTGCGAAGGGGTACGTCTTAGTTGTCATATAAGGTTTGTATATGTCGTATACTAAGGTCGACTGCTTGTTAAGAAGAATTTAGGAATTAAATGATTCGTTTCTCTGGGGAATTTTGAACAACAAATTTGACTTAAGAATTCTGTTTTTTTATCTTGTAGCTGGAAGTGACTTATCACAAAATGATACCGCTATGTGTAATCCAGAGCTCCCTGCCAAGGAAACTAAAGTCAAGGGAGTAATCAAAGTATTGAGTAAAGAAGATGAAAAGAAGGGCGTCAGTTCTCATTCATCTGCGGAATCAAAAGAAAACTTGACAGCTAGTATACAAGCGCCTATTGAAACAGAAGGCTCTAGTTCTGTTAATCCAGTAACTTTATATCCTGCTGTGTTTCGTGATGGTGTACCAAACACAAATTGGTTAGTTGGTGATATACCACGTTATCCATCCTGGTCTATTTATACACTTGGAAAATACTACAGTTATTCTCATTCATCAGGTAACTTGCTTGTAGTAATATTTCACGTGTTACATGTATTAGATTATTCTTTTGTTTTTACTTTATGGAGTGAGTAATTTTATCGATCTATAAGCAATTTCTTTATCTTTTTTAGGTGTGAAACCGTTGTACCTTATCTGCTCACAGATTATCACCACCACTTTGAAACTGATTGTTATTTGTCCCACCTCGGGCAATTCTTAATCTAGTTCAGTTAGTTTATTATGTGTGCGTTGGTGGTCCACCAACCCCCTCGTGGTCTGTCTCCCGACCAACCCACTGTTGATCCTCGCCCAGTTTACTAGTCGGTAGTAAGTCCGGAAAAGGCGGGAAGTGTGACTTTAAGGTTAGCAACTCCACCTCACCACCACGCTTATCCGAAATTTAAGGCTTCAAGCCTAAAGTCCTATGTTTCACTCGGAAACCGAACAAATGAATAGAAGTCTAATTGCGTATATCACAGTTGAGGTTTGTAAGTGGAGAAACGTTCGCCTCATCATTTACTGATACTGAGAAGAACATTTAGACGATTCGGTTACTGAGACACACTTATGCTTCCTCGAGGAAGCAGTGGTAACTCATCCAGTGAATACTATTGTACTGCCGTATGCCTTTAGAAAATAGACATACCTACTATGGAATAAAAAAATTTTATGACTTTTTGGTCACATTTGTGTACAGTGTTCTCCAATTGAAATATTCTTAACCAAACATATAAAGTGCTTTTGCGCGTCTATCCTTTGATATACACGCGAATGAAATGATAATGCGTTCCGAAAGGCACAACAACCTTCACCAGCTCCTCTACACCGTTAACTTACTGCTAGTGATTATTTTATGTCTGTCTGTCGTTGGCTTCATATTAGTATTTGCCAAGCCAAGGACAGATGGTTATCTAATGAAAATTGTAAGTGATAATCAGTGTTATCAGTTCGCTGGTATGTGGTTTCGTAGATATTCTCAGTGTTCTTTTTCGTTCGGCTCAGCTCAAGTATGAAAATTGACTGTGAAAATGGTTTTATATCTTAGCATTTGTTTTTTACTTTTTGAGGCACACTTGGCAGCTTTTGATAAAATCTCCCCTTCGCTTCATTCTGACTGCCTTTAGTGGATACGTAATTAAGTTAAGTTTTTCCTTCACTTTCCCCAGTGGAACATAGGGCTTCAAGCTAGTGGCTTGAAGTTTCTGTAGCAGTGTTTATTTTGCAGGATGGGGTTGCTAGCCTCATGCCCAACCTTTCCTCTTTACCAGCATAATTTCTGACTTAGTGAGGTAAAGGAGTGCGTCTGTGGCCAGGGATCGAACCCCGGACCATGTGCATGGTCAGCGAGCGTCCTAACCGCTATACCACCGACGCCGGATACGTAATTGGAGATTATGAAAAGAAGAAAGAATCTGTTGAATATTTTAGGTACACCATGTTCACCAGAGTAGGATTATATTGATTAACAGCTCTTGTGTCTTGTATACACATCCCTGGGAAGCAACATACATCCAAACTCCAGAATTCTGGAGTTTTGTCTGGTGGAAGCTGATGTCAGATTTCGGATACTTACAGTTGAAGCATGAATTTGGCAGTATGGTTTTGACGGACAACAAACGGTATTTCTCTGGCTGAATTTTCTAACGGTAATCACAGAGTTACACAATAAACTCTTTGAGAAATAGTATAATAAGTTAGAGGTAAGCAAGAAAATGAGTGAATAACGGGCAGAAGAGTTTTTGTATAATTATAGAAGGGTATATGTGGTCTACTTCTTACAGCTACCCACATCACGGAAGAAGACTTCAGATATCTAAAACAGGGAAAGGTTTAGTTTCGTATGACTCGAAAGCCTTTAGGGAGAACTGTTTGTGATAGTCAACTACTTGATTAGGATCCTCGAGATATTGGTGGCATCGTTGTAAATCCGTCTCAATAGTTTGAATAAACTTTCATACCAATTTTACTATACTACAATTCCTTTTTCTATATTCAAAAGGCCTACCTTGCCGAGGATTTCTCCGCAATAGTAATTTCTTACTTCCTTGGGATGTATCACTAACGAACAATACGTGGAATGCACCTGAACGAGGACGTTTCAATAAGCCTGGTAGAGGCAGACGTGGAGGAAGACCAGGTAATTTTACTCCGTCTATTACTTCTATTATCACAGCCTATCGATGTAACATTTTAAAATTTACCAGTTTTGTGCTCAATTAGTGTGACAGTAGAGTAAAGTATTACATTAAAGTGTAGTGACAGCCCTGCCAAATATGAAGTTTACAAAATGAGCAAGGCATTCCTATGAGTCATGTTTTATAGAACAAGATAGGTTCAATATAAATTTAAAAAAGCGTAAGTACACTTGGACAAAATACCTATCCCTCTTTAATCATGTCAACTTTTTCAACACTAATTTTATTCGAACTGTTTTCTTCATAAATCACTGTAAAACTGAAAGAAATTCCATACTATAACATATTTTCATTGAGTTGTAAAGGAAATTAAGGACAATTCAGAGAAGAAAATCTTCTTCATCGGTGAAGTCATCTTCAGAGGCTATACAGACGTATTAATATTTACCAAAAACGTATAGTCGTCCATGACTGAGCAATAGGGTGGGTGAAATTGATATAATTACTCAGAAGTGGCCTCAAAAGTAAAATAAAAAATTACGTAATACTCAGCGGCACAAAGGAAGAAAGCGTTAGAAATTTGGTAAGGTTAAGATTGTTATTGAGTGAGAATAAAGGCAGTTGAGTGTCCATTTGACATTTGTGAAGAGGATGAGAAAATACACAAAAGGAACATGAGAGTGGCGATAGTGAATTAATAATTAAACATAAAAGCAAACAAATTATTAAAAATTACAATTTACAGGGGACGACTAATGAAGAGATTCAGACCGTGATAGAATAAGAGACTGGACAAACTTCTTCTGTGTATACAGAGTTCGGGATTGTATTGACGTATTGCCAGTGCCGCCGCCACACAAAAATGCCAAAACCTGACGCCTTTTATACCAGTCGGTTTCACCTTGTAGATAATCTTAACGGACGACTCTGAGGGAAATGCTTGTCCTGAGCTCATAAAGTGCTCCAGAATTGAGCTAGTAATTGTCTTGCATTGTCCTCCTGCTAACTGTGCTGGATAATGTTCAGAGATGCGTTCGAAAAGTGTTTACTATGTGCAGCCAATACAACTAGCTCCACAGAGACAAGTGAGCTTCTAAACACACATTATTAAGTGGTCCAAAGTGGAGGTTAATCCTTCACACACCCATTGATCACTAGTCGACTGTAGCGATGGATCTGGATGAGTGGTTCTTCAGAATCTTAGCTGCCAGTAACACGCTTAAATTAACACTTAGTAATAACTTTTTTTAAGACCTACAGTCATTTATTTGATTCACTAATTTAAAATAATAAGTAGTATAATCTCTACTTATTCTTCATTCTGCTCCTTTAGATTCAGACACAGTGAAATTATTTATTGGCTTTGAAATGGAATGTTCTATGGGTCATCGATTCTTTATAACTGGAATTGATCGAGTTATGGATGGACCTATGCCAAGCAGTCAAGTTCGCCGAGCTGTTCACTTACTGTTGACACGTGATCTACCTATTTTTATGCCCTGTGAATGTCAGCACTCGACGACTTCACATATGTTTGGGGATACACGGCATCCAGCAACTACTAATGAATGGGATATCGAGTATACTAGTACACTGAGATCGTCTAGTTATACAAATAATCAAACAGTGATGGCACAATTGTCACGAATTTATTTAGCTATACCATCTGCTCCTATTCGAGTTCGTGTCCAACCGTGTGTACGACCTGGTCCACCTAAACATACTCCAATATTTCATCTAGGTCATACAATGGATCAGTGTTCTGATAAAAGATTTGATAGTTTGTCAGATTTTGAATATGAACAAAACTATGGATTTGATGATGACTGCTATATTTATGAGGATTGTGCTAAACAAGATGTAAAATATCATGGTACTAGTCAAAGTGAAAGATATCAAGCGCCAGGTTATGTAACATTGGATAATGGATATTTATGGGTGATCCGTCTACCGTATCCTTACATTCGATTATTTTGTGAAATATGTTTGGAATTTTAGTATTCACAGAGTTGTACTAAATAAGAGTGGTGTGTTGATTATAATTCCTTGTCCTAAGTATGCACTATTTGACACAAGGATAGAAATTGTCCCAAGTACCCAAGTATTCTCAGATTCAGTATGCAAAATATAGCAGGAATAGTCAGTTGAGCACTGTTCACACAGACTAAGTGAAAGCAATGATAACCTGCAGAATTTTATATCCATTGTAGTGATCAGCTGACTTTGCATAGTCAATAAGGAGTGACACGTTTTTCTATTGTCAAGGTCTTACTAGAGATTTTCTCAGACGAATTATTATTGTTTATTGTAAGTACCTTCTGCACATCTTATTAGACTTAAACAGATTAGAACCATTGTTGGTATTAGATGGTTAGAGAAAATAGGCAGGAAGCTCTACCTGATCTAGGTTTCGTGCTAGTTGGCACTCGTCAGCAAGGTGTATCTGCAAATCATGTCTAATCTGAGATTCGAACCCCTGTTACCCAGTGAGTACTGCAATCAGAGACGTTACCACTGAGCTATTCAGACTCGCAATTGACCTCATGTAGGACTGTATTGTACACTGGTTACCGACTAGTGTCCAATCAAAAATATCCAATGCAGTCCTACGGGAGGTCAATTGCCAGCCTGAATGGCTCAGTGGTAACGTCTCTGACTGCAGTACTCACTAGGTGGCGCAGGTTCGGATCTTAGATGGGACATGAGTTCCTTTGACATTGCAGATATGCCGTGATGACTGACTGGTGAGTGCCAACAAGCACGAAACCTAGTTCGAGCAAGGCTTCCTGTGGCCGATTGCCTCCAACCATCTAATACTAACAATTCACAGTGCACTGTGATGGCGAGCCAACTAGTGGCATAGTGGCCACATTGCAAGCTTGACCGATAGAATTCAGCCTGCACCAAATATAGGACCAGGCACATTACACTAGTTAATGACTAATGTCCAATCAAAAAGATTAGACTAGTGAATTTCGATATATGATGATGAAGTAAATGTCACTCCATACAGGTTTTTTTTGCACTAAACAACATGTCAATAGGTAAAGTTATGTACAGATTAGAGCTGTTTAAACCCCTATAATTAGTGTTGGATGATTCAATTGTTTATGTTTAGCCCCCCCCCCCCGCCCTATGTAGTGATGATATTCAGGCAAATGTTAGACGCCAAATACAAAAGCGTCTTTAAAAATTTCTCGTAACGTCCAATTATTGAAATAACTGTCTATTAAATACTCTGACATGCTATATAGTATTATATTGAAATCTGGAATGATATTTAGGTATCGTAAAATTGCAATGATTTAATTAACTGTTTTTTTTCCTTAACAATTATATCATAAATATTGTTTGTTTAATTTTTAACAAATAAAAGATTTGTTTATCATGATGGAAATAGACATTATCCGAAACCATTGTATCCAGGTGAACGTAATGATTGGAAGCTACTCAGAGGAAGTATAAAACTAATAATATGAACGTATAATGTACAGTATTATGGATTACTCTCCCTCTCTCTCTCTCTGCCTATCTCCTTCTCTTATCAACGTGTATATATAATTTACTTTGAAAATATACTGCTTATAATAAATACACTCGCAGATTTATTAATCTTTAATTTCATACCGACTGTCACATTTGGAGGACCATCATAATTGGTGGGAGCAGGGGAGGAAAATGAGATGGTGGGGAGATGTGGTGATATTGTAACAGCAGAAGACAAGAGCCTGGCAATAGATTGTCTATTAAGGAAATCAACACATATTTATGGATTTTCATGTACATATAATGGACTATTGTCAGCAGAAAAACAGTCTTCTGATTGGTTATTTCTCACTGAAAGTTAATCCTTCATCTCTTTCTGGCTGTTTCTAGAATGTCAGATCATCTATATGTTAACCGTATCCGCCTACGCGAAGTCTGCTGTGGTTGGTTGTTGAATCAGTCTTTGTTCTTATTATTCTCACGACTAATATTGAGGACGTGAATTACTATCCACCGATTTGGCTAGCAGCCAGCTCTCACCACAATATTACTATAACAGCAAAAGTGGAGGTTGTAGTGAAAATTATTTATATATATTATGATCTTTGCTTATCAATTTCTTCATATGCTACTCCGATTAAGAAATCGTGAACTTCTTTTATATTTCCAAAGTGGTTAACAGTCATCTTACAATGCTTCTGTTAGTTCGTTCATAATGAAAGTGGTATCTGACATTTTTTTTTGGTGTTGGCTTAAAGCGCGTTAGTCAGTAGACTGTTGACATGCATTAGAATGTGTCTAGTTCACTCGTAATCCTGGTTTTTAAACGGTTCAGCAACATGACTAATACCGTTTATCATACCAGTTAAGTCAATTTTATCCTTAAAGCATTAGTGCTTTACTTTTCGATTGTTTCAAAAGTCTGAATAGTAGTAGAAATTCAAATAAAACTATAGAACTCCAGTTTATTAGGACTTTGAAATTGCTGAGAGGAGAAAATCTTCGTCAAAGCCTCTAGTCTTTACGACTTACCAAAGATTCATAATAAGTGATTACCCCTATATTCTATTCTAAACATGTCGCATACCCAGTATGACTTCAATGCAAATAGTTTTGCATTTACTAAAGCCTTTACACTGACAGTTAGTCAAAACAGAGTGTAAAAGATTTGTTGACACTTGGTAAAAGCGCTGAAGATATATTAACATATAGAAGTATATTACCTTTAGGCATCATATCACTGTTGCTTAGTGTTTTCTTTGTATAAGCAGTCAACTATATATATTGTGCGTCGGTGGGACAGTGGTTAGGACTCTCGCCGACCATGCACATGGTCCGGGGTTCGAGCCCTCGCCGACGCACACTTGATATCTATGGTCGGCCTGCAAAATTTGGGCTACCGATATCCACGCTGAAAATTCCATACCTGTACCAAAAATACAGTGTGGAATCAAGCTGTAGTCAAAAATAAAATAAATATATGTGAGCAACTTAAAGAACGATAAATAAACATTCAGTTCACGCATGTGAAGTGCTAAGAGTTATTGCTAAATTGAACAACGAACGTTCACTTCATGTTTAATACAGAGTTTTGCAGACAAAACTGAAAAAGCACACCAAGTCATGATACACTAAGAGAAAAAGTTTCACCCAAGAATGCAGTTCATGGGTAACAACATATGTAGTGACGTGTTAAGTCGCATGTTTAACAGAGCCGCTGAAAACATCATTTCCCGTTCAGATCTTCACTAATACGGTACATAAATGATAGGTTACTGATGATGGTTATATTTATGTGAATTTACAAATTTAACGCTCTTGTGGAGCGAGTTAAGTTAGTTTTAGTCAGAAGAATTCATCCTTGCATATTGCACTGAGAAGAGGAGCAGTCTGGTTACTAGAAAATGTCATCTCATCCTTTTTGTTGGACAGTAAACGCCACACGAAAACATAACACGTGCTTCCAGCCATGCATCGAGTGGCGTACAGTGCGCGACCACATTTATTATTATAGCTTGGAACCACACTGTCTTTGTTACAAGTATGGAATTTTCAGCATATGATATCGGTAGCCCAAATTTCGCAGGCCGACCATAGATATCAGGTGTGCGTCGGCAGGGGATCGAAACATGTGCATGTGTGACAACAGAAGACAAGGGCCGGCAACAGATCGTTTTATTACGGAAATCAGCACGTATATATATATATTTCATGTACATTATTATAGCCTATTTAAGCAGACAAACGCAGTCTTCTGATTGGTTGTTTCGGGTTTCTCGGAAAGTGAGGCCATCTATCTGCGAATCATATTTGCCCACATTAAGTCCAACATTAGTGACCTAGACATTGACGTAGATTAATGTCTACCAATTGGCTAGCAGCCCGCTCTCACCACACATGGTCGGCGAGAATCCTAACCTCTGTGCTACTGACGCTTACCTGTGCCTTCAAGTACTATATCTGAGTTGGTTTACCATTTGGTCATCATAGACGTAATTATCTCATGCCGCATTATATCCCTCTGTATAATAACAATCACTATTTTCTTGCTTCCTTCTTACTGTTTCGTCTTACCTTCTACATTAAAAAGTTAAGACAAACAGGTATCAACCAACCTTCAGTTTTGCAATTTTTAAACTCCTGTATTTTACCTATTGTACTCTATTGCTCTCCATTAATCTTTCCTGGGCTGCTCAAAAAAGATTATATCATATTACGAAGAGTATTAAATGCTGTGAGTAGAGCTTGTGGTCTGCCACTGCATGAGCTCGCTAATACTATAGTCGAGAGGCATATAAATTCCTGTACGAAATGGGCAAAGGCTATAATGTCAGACCCTCTGCACCCCCTTTATTCACACCTGTCCCCTTGTATCTCATCAGGTAGGACGAGAAGTCAATATAAAAAGATATATGCTCGTACCGCTAAGTACAGAAATTCTACAATACCCTATTTAGCCTGTATTTAATGTGATGAAGACTGTTAGACGTGAAACACACAAGAAGTTACTACGTAATTAGCACAGTGAATCGACCCTTTCATTGTTCATTTTACTGTATTATATGGTGTCACACTTTCTATCGTTTAATTATAACTGTGCTATTTTATTTTAGTTGGTATTGCTATTATTACTACAATTTTGTACTTTATGCATATTTTTCTCCGTATGGCATACAGTATTTTGCTATGTAGCTGCTATAACAATCCTGTTATTACTGTTGTGTAATGTGTATTTTTAATTTTTTTTTGTTGTTGTCGTTTTTGAGTAAACTAGATGCAATATTGTACTGAATGCTGAAAATTCCTTGCTGTATCATTAGTACTGTTTTTGGAATAAAGCAAATTATTATTTGGTTTACTCCATTATTATTGTAGTACTCGCATTATTTCTCACTTCACTGATTACAATTTACCGCTGGAACTCTGACTTATAAATCTTACTAACACCAACCACTTAATCATTTTTTTTCTCATATCCACTGTCGACCATACATTTTGCATGAATGCAAATCAGTATCAAAACTGACTGCCAACCAATTTATCTTTTAATTCGATTGCAATTGATTTTAGCCACCATATTATAGTTTGTGATATAGCTACATAAATGTATGTCTATTACCTACTGTCAAATAATCACCATGGATTTATTTGCATGTACTAGGTTCACTATCCTTTCCAGGTGTAAAGATGCTGTTTCAGTCTACACAATAAAAGTTACACTACCTTGACTGGTTTTTTTTTAAATTATTCCTTTACGTTCCCGGTGGAACATAGGATTTCAGGCTAGAGGCTTGAAGTTTCTGTAGCAGTGATGATTATTTTTACAGGACGGGGTTATTAACCTCATGCCCAACCTCCCTCCTTTACCAGTCTTATTGCTGGCTTGCGAGGTAAAGGAGTACGTCGGTCGGGCATCAAACCCCGGACCACATCCGTGGTCGCTGAGCACTCTACTACCGTGCCACCGACGCACCTCTTTTGTTGGTATTGATGTGAAAAAATTTCTTATGTACGAACTGCTAAAAATCTCTGACATACTACTGTGCTGAATATGAAACATGTGTATTTTTTCTATTTATTTATTTTTTTTAATTTTTGATTACAGCTTGATTCCACACTATACTTTTGGTACAAATATGGAATTTTCAGCATGAATATCGGTAGCCCAAGTTTTGCAGGCCGACCATAGATATCAGGTGTGGGTCGGCAGGGGATCGAACCTCGGACCATGTGCATGGTCGGCGAGAGTCCTAACCACTGTCCCACCGACGCACATATCATGAAGAAGCTCATATAACTACACTTAGATTAACTTACGAGTTGAACCCGATTGTCTTGCGTACTCATTGATTATACTGGCAAATTTGATAGTTCTTATCTATTGGGTTATTTATATGTAGCGACAGTGATTCTTATACGAACTTAATATAGCGATTGTCAGAATCAGTCCTCAACTTATCAACCTTTCATTTCCTATATGACATTCAATGAATTTATGAATCGAAGTAACTTTGTCTTTTCCCACAAATAACTCTTCCAGTTTAATCAAGTTTCAGTTAACACAACTGGGTGAGAAAACGGTTCACAATGAGTGTACCATAATCCATTACCTCCTTAGTGGACGAATCCTTAAAACCTTAACTTGTTCTTCTTACTTAGCCTTGTTATTACGGATCACATTGCTCCAACTAATTAAGTAAATGAAAGCATTTGTAATAGGAAACTCCCAGTGTGGTGAGAGCAGGCTGCTAGCCGATTGGTTGGCACTAATCTACGTTAAGGTCTAGGTCACTAATATGGGCCGTGAACAAGGCTGAGTCAACAACCAATCACAGCGATGTTAACGTGGCAAAATATGATTCGCAGATAGAGAACTCTGTTTGTCAAGGAATCCCGAAGCAACCAATCAGAAGCCTGCGTTTGTCTACCTAAACAACCAATCAGATGACTGCGCTTGTCTATAATAATGTTGTTGAAATATGTATAAATACGTGTTGATTTTCATAATAAAACGATCTGTTGCCTGGCCCTTGTCTTCTGTTGTTACATTTGGTGTCGCTGCCTGCCGACAAATGGAAAGCCTATGCCCTGCTGTTTTTGATGGAGACATATGGATCTTCGGGCAGGACTTCAAGGCTTCTGCGCAGTTGAGTGGCGTTCAAGATCTGTCAGCGATGGAGCTGCTACTTGGGACGCTGCTGGGAGGTCGGGTGAAAGCAGCATATGAAAGTGTGAGCCGAAGTATGGACGAATGTTCGACAGGGTCAGGCAAACAGTTTCCAAAGTGGGAAGGACCATATATGGTCACTTCGAGATGGGGTTACGCAGACACAGTCGCAATGGCGAACAATGAGAGGCGCGTGAACGTCAGCGAGCTCCAGAAATGGATACAGCGAGACAAGCCAACGATGACGCCTGCACCAAGTAGATCAAGCCGACTTCAGTCGCACGTATTTGACGGGGGGACGAGTGTGGTGAGAGCAGGCTGCTAGCCGATTGGTTGGCACTAATCTACGTTAAGGTCTAGGTCACTAATATGGGCCGTGAACAAGGCTGAGTCAACAACCAATCACAGCGATGTTAACGTGGCAAAATATGATTCGCAGATAGAGAACTCTGTTTGTCAAGGAATCCCGAAGCAACCAATCAGAAGCCTGCGTTTGTCTACCTAAACAACCAATCAGATGACTGCGCTTGTCTATAATAATGTTGTCTGAAATATGTATAAATACGTGTTGATTTTCATAATAAAACGATCTGTTGCCTGGCCCTTGTCTTCTGTTGTTACACCAGTATTTTTATACCTACTATCTTCAGAGGTCTACACTGAAAGTCACAAGTTGGAAGGGAACGAATACCTACACAATATCAGTCTTGAGCTAAATATTGTCTAGACTTGATATTAGTAAACTTCATGAGACCTCCGAAGAATGTGTTATCCAGAGCAATATCCTGTTATGTCGTGCAGTCAGTGTTCTAAAAACTCCAGAGAGATTTGCTCCACTTTACTCCTCCCAGTAGTCCATGCGTTGAATAAGCTGTTCTTACAAGAGCATAGGCAATAACTTTTGTTTTTGATTACAGCTAGATTCCACACTATACTTTTGGTACAAGTATGGAATTTTCAGCATGAATATCGGTAGCCCAAATTTTGAAGGCCAACTATAGATATCAGGTGTGGGTCGGCAGGGGATCTAACCTCGGACTATGTGCATGGTCGGCGGGAGTCCTAACCACTGTCCCACCGACGCACAGTATTAATAATTACGGTACGATTCATTCTTTTAGTTAAATGGGGAGGATACCATACATACTTATTTCAGGCATTATCCTTCACATACCTTCGTCTATAACGTATTCCATCCATTATTATACTTATTTAGTGGTGGCTAGCGGTGAAACCCAGTGTGCATATTTCGTCCTATTGGGATTCTTCGTGCGCATGTACCGAAGTGGGGCTTATCGATTCCTGCAGACACATAATCGAAAAGCGGCGGTGTACATTTATTTGATGAGAGTTTAAAAACTCTCGTAGCATTCATCCTAGTTTCGAACTCAAGATTAACGACTTTTAACAAGACCTGTAGGAAATTAGTTAAGACTCAATAATTTGTGTTTCTGTAAATCCAATCAATTCACAACACAATAAGTACCAAATATTGTCATTTTGTTCTTTTTATCAGCAGTTATTCAAGCGAACCCAATTTATGGTGAAGAGCCTATTTCACGCCTCTAGTGACACAGTGTTGAAGACAAGCCTTTATTATTAGGAGTTCAAAATATGATTTGTAGACAAATAAAGCCGTAGGTGAAATCTTGATGCATTAAACTGCAGACAGACAGATGTCCTGAAATAATCATTTTTAAAAGTTTTTTTAACAGTTTGTCGAGCCGACATCACAAATCATTAAATTCATCAGGCTTCATCCATTTTGCAAGTTGTTTAATACAATCAGGTCCAACATTGCAACATCCTCCGACCCACTGAGCTAAAGTGTGATTGTTTTCTCTTGACTGATGGAGGTGATCACTGTTGTGAACTTCACGACGTTTCGCCCATCGAATAGTGCTCTGAAGCCAACTTTCATCGTTGTATTGAGAGTGACACGTAAAGTAAGCAGATTTACCGTCATCGTTATCATCTCGTACCCAGTGACTCCCATCATTGGCATAAAATAACAATAACTTGTTTGAAGTACTTCCAGGATCTATCGATTTATGCAAAGATAAGTTTGCAAGGGCTTCACCGATATGATTATGAGGTATGTTGCAATTAACTCCAATGCCGAAAACCTAGAACAGGAAAAATAAACATATGTATGTGTAAACTTGTCATAAAGTGTGAAATAACGTATTAATCAAAAGTGAACCCATTGTTAATCTTTGTAACACACCCACATCAAAATACCTGATCACATTTTTCTGCTTCTTGGGCAACAGATACGAGAAGATCCCCACCTGAAGTTGTTTTACCATCTGGTGAGGAAACTGAAATCCAGCAATATGCTGATGGTAGTCTACGCATAACTTCACATATTGCTGAGACTTCAATCAAAAGTGGAACTGTTTCCCAGGCTATAAAGTCAACTCCAGATTGTATTAAGATAGTTGCTCTTGACAAGTGGAATTCAACCAACTCTTCAAAAGTAACTTTATCTGCATACGATCCAGAATACTCTGATCCATCAGCAATGCATGCTCCATATGGACCCAAAGATCCAGCAATAAGAACAGGCAATTTTCTTTGAAATTCACTAGGATTATCCGAGTGCTTCTCTTCTTCGCATGCTCTTTTTGCCAAAATGACAGCAGTATGCATTAGATTTTCTGCTTCTGATCTGCTTATGTTAAGCGCTTGAACTAAGGTTGTAGGTGATGCCTGATATGTGTTCGTAGAGATTACATCACAACCGGCACGAAGGAAACTATAAAGAGTAATATGATACATTTGAAAATTAAGAAACATAACTCATGACAACAAATCTAATTGATACAGCAAACAAAAGTAATGTTTTTTGAAAACAACAGTCCTAAAAGCAGCATTACATCGGCCCTTATAATCACTTCTATAATGAGAGAATAACTAGTGGTCTAGCCTCACAAAACTTCTTTCACATCCTTTACACAAAATGTATAAGGAAAGAAAAACAGATGTTTCTACGATCACAAAACAAAAGATAAGTGCGGGCAGGAGACCCAATGATGACGAGTGGAGATGTAGAAAAGAATTTAAGTATTGAACTGGCTTTTGTCTGTTACATAACAGTCTCCGGGTGGCTAGGATCAATATGTTAACTTATTGGTGATGTGACCCGAATTCGTACTAAATAGCACTAGTGGCTCCAATTTTTGTGGTCATCTAGATTCCAAAACACCAAAACTAATGTCGTCGAATTATTCTCCTTCCTGCATATCTTCGTAGATTGTAGTATAAATTAAGTTCTTTTCTCTACACGTATTGGTTTTGTAGGGATTGTGTTTGATTGGTTGAAAGGTTTCATCATGAGCTGACATCAGTTAGAGAGCCACTGGAAAACCTGGGAGTACTAGACAGCTCTTTCACCCGTCCTAGTTTGGGACTCCTCATCAGCACGCACCCACACCACCAGGGGTCAAACCCAGGACCTTCTGATTACAAAGCGAGCTCATAAACGATTAAGCTACTGGGACTCGACTAGATGGCCCATAAATTCTAGCTTCTGCCAATTCGTAACGTAGCGTGACCCCTTTACAATGTCTTCTTCGATGAGTTACTGCGTACTGACGAGCAGTCCCAAACTAGGACGAAACAGTTGTCCAGTACTCCCAGGTTTTCCAATGGTTCTATAACTGATGTCAGGTCATGATGAAACCTTCCAACCAATTCTTTTCTCTGCCTTTGCGTGCTTTCCAAGGTCTATTAACTTGTACTGATGCACTGTGGTGCAAATGTCTGCGCTGATAAGCCTTTCAGTCATGTTACATGCCTCAATTAAAGTATCGTGGCTTAATCCATTGCTCAGTATTGTAAATGATTAACTTCATTGATAGTCTGAAGTCAAGCGCAACCAGATAAAACACGCGTTCAATGTTGATGGTCTAACAATACTTCAATGAAAGCAATACCACTCCTTACTTCACCGCCAGTAATAAAACCGACCTACAGAAATAGGTGAGTTGTTTTGCACTTCAAATTTACATCTTATGGATCTATTTCATCTAATGAAAATGTCCGAAAGTTGCTTCTTTCAACAGAGGGTAACGTTTCTTTTTCTGACAGTGTCAAACTTTATTTGAAGTACATGTTAAGCTTACAGTTAACCATTTAGTCTGATGGAAACGATAACGATATTTGGATACTGGGATTTGTTGGGAATTGGATCAATTTTATTTCAATTATCAAATTACGTCACGAAACAATATCAGTAAGAGAGATCATTGAAAAACAAGGAGCGCTAGACACAGCTGTTTCGTCCCACTTCAGAGCTCTTCAGTACTGCACACCGACGACCCCACCAGGGATCGAACCATGGACCTTCAGGTTACATGACATAGCTTGTCAATCGTTCAGCCACTTGGTCTTGAATGGTTCAAACTTAAACTGGTAGACAATTCTGATTACTTTCTTAATAGTTGGTTTGTAAGGATTGGATTTGTTTTTGCGAGTTGATCGAGAATTGTTATCAGTTAGAGAACCATTGGAAACCAGCAGAGAGTACTAGGCAGCTGTTTCATCCTAGTTTGGGAATCATCAGCAGTACATACCCACCGGGGTTCGAACCCAGGAACTTCCGGTTACAAGGCAAGCTCTTATACAATATTAAAGGAGATGGTGTTATCATGAATAAACCTGATTACTTAAAGAAAACGGATAAAATTTTCAAGAATTAATCTAAATTTGAAATAGACAATGCTGCAGATAATGTTTTGCTTATTGAAAAGCAGATTAATTGCCAGCTTCATATGTTATTTAATGTGGTTTTTAAATGAAACATTAAATAAGTAACTCGACGCAATCAGATTGCATAACTACAGTTGCATACTTTAATTGAATTTTAGATTTTCCCATCGATTGATTGAACTGAAGTGCTCTTTATCAGGGTGGTATGTCGGCTTGTGCAGACGCACAAGAGGTGGCTCTCGTGGCCCAAGTGGTCTAGTGGATAATGCTTTGGTGTTTGAAACTATGGGCACTGGGCTCTAGCCCTGGTGAGAACACCATCACTCACTGGGAAATGCAGGTACATCCAGTGACGAGTCCTAAATAGGAAGAAATACGCACCTTGAATTCTGCTGCTAGTCACCATCCACAAATTAAACAGCTATATACTCTTTCAAAATTTCACAAGCCTGGGAACTCAGTAAGACTCATCTTAGACACGTCGAATTCTTCATACCAAAAGTTATCAGATGGGTTACAGAGGTCATTTTACCCTTAAGCGATTCCTTAACGAAACACTACTAAAAGTCCATTCGATTTTGTCAACGTACTCGTCACTTCAAGCATTAAGGAAAAAAGTGCGTGCTCATTTGACACAGAATCACTGTCCACCAATGTTCCACTTCACAAGACTGTTGATTCCATGTGCGATTACATCATAAGCTATGGAATACAAATTCCTTTACTTATCATTTAGATCAGAGATACTACCTTGACATGTTAAGAAAATATTACATTCAACTTCCAAGGAAAAGCACGCAAACAAATTGATAGTGTTGCGATGGAAAAAACTTTTGGGTGTTAGAAGACGTGTTTATTTTAAAGTTGGAGAAAGAAATGGAAGGTATACTGGCAAATTCAACGCTTTATAGACGTTATTTGGATGATACACTCATTATTAGTGATAGTAATGAGTCAGTTAATAAACCTCATTACTTTATTTAATCACATCGATGCAAATATTTGAGTGACTTAGGAATCCCAACTGGATAACCAGTCAGGCTTCCTGTTTACTTCAGTGACTAAGTGGGGTCATAAGCAACTCAGCAGAACACTGATAGACCTTAGACACATGTTTTAAATGCCTGATGTAGACATAAACTTACGAAGATATAAATAATGTATTTTGAGATGCAAGTGAACGGTGTTCAGACGATAGTAGACTAACTACAATTCATGAAGAATCTTTTCCTCCCCGGATTCTTTCAAGAAGCTACGAAGATTCCGCTGACTAATTAGTTTTATCGATAATTTGAAACAACAAAAAAGGAGTGAATAGTTTGTTGTTAATATTTCCGCTCTAAAAGCCACTCCTCATGGAAAAATGTTGTCTTGGTAAAAAAAAACAACTGCAGACACATCACACTGACAGTATATGCAAGCATAGGCCGGCTTAACTATAAAACCATGGCACTCACAATTTTATTTCAGGTCTTATTACTTGAAAATTCGCAAACGACTTACGATTTATGTATCTCAACAACTAGTTCCGGATCTTCTTTCAGAAGCCTGGAACTCCAAGCCAAGTGACCATGGATTTGTAAATGAGACCTCTTTTGGCATTCTGTTCCAAAACCTCCATCCAAAACCCTAACTTCAGTAAGCCACTGAGAGATTCGTTGATTAGTCGCGTTGCTCATAGTTCACTCCAAGCTAAAACAGTATAAATAAATAAATAAAGGTTAGAATTTTACAACCCACTTCGACAAAAAAGCTAAGGATTAGTGGTAACTCTTACCTGCATGAATCACGAAATTTTAACTTTTTGAAAACACTCCAAACCAAGCAAATAAAACCATTATCTAAACGCATAAAAAAACTTGGTACAACATGGCACGAAGAAGGATGCGCCACACAATAATAATAAAACAACATAGATCAAAGAAAAAAAATATATAAGTAGAGAACGGATAAAGAACTTCATCTGGAAGGAAGACAGTCATGCTCAACAAGTTCAAACAGCGTTCGTTAACTATCTTCGGGAAGGGAAGAAAGAAGGAAACTGCAACACAATCACCACTGATTACGATTCTTGGCCATATCCGATAACGTTTCGAGCCATCGATTTGAGCTATCTCTCAGACTCCAACCAGGGAGTCGTGACGCACCAACCGATGCTAATCTAGCACAAAAATCCTTCATCCCACGACGCCACGTCATGGACTGACCACCTCTCCACCTTTTCCATCCCGTCCCAGGGCTAGCGAACAGAAACCTGTACGGAAGCCTCTGAGATGATATTCGCAGCACATGTCCAAGCCACCGGAGCCGGTGTTCTCAGATGACAACACTCAGTGAATGGTGATCTCCACGGTGTTCAAACACACGCCGACGAACCTCAGAATTACTCACATGATGATGTCATCGAACGAAAGCAATTCTGCGGAGACAGCGGTGATCAAACACGCAGAGTCGCCGCACATTCTCAGCTCGGAGAGGCCAGGTTTCACAGGCGTAGAGCAGCCCGCACCGAAGCATTGTATACCCGACCTTTGACAGCCAGGCTAACGTCGCGACGGCGCCAGAGGTGGCTCAAGTTGATGTATGCCACCTTAGCCTTCATTATACGGTTAGCAATCTTATCCGTCACCCCCCCGCCAGCACTCACACAACTACCCAAATACACAAACTTATCAACAACTTCAAGCGGTTCACCCGCAAGAGTGAGTGTAGGTACAGGCTCCTGCCAATCTTGTAACAGTACTTTGCACTTAGACGGCGCAAAGCACATACCTGTTATAACTGTAGGGAATTGAATGAAGACGTTTCCACCTTATTCTGTCTGCGCCTGAACTAATCTGTCTATCTGCTCGTCGTACCTTCCGACTTAGTAAAGCACGCAAATATCAAAAGACAAAGGCTGGACTGTGACTGTGTATTGAAGTGCAACAACGATAAAGAAAGCCATGGTATTTATACATTTTACAACAATATGGACAGCTAACAGCATTTGAAATAATTTATCTTAATAGCCAATAACAAAGTGCGTGAGAGATGATAATATACCATATGTGCGAGGTTGACAGTCAGTAACAAAATGTGTGGGAATGATAATATACCATATATACAAGATTAGCAGTCACTACCAAAATGTGTGAGAATGATAACATACCATATATGCAAGATTAAACAGTCAATACCAAAATATGTGGGATCCTATCACCTCCCCCGTAAAGAGTGTAGGACTTGCTTTTTGGATCTATTTGAAAAGGTTTCGGAGCTCTTCTTTGTCGAGTTGACCTTTGCGTGGTACTGGATAGAGCGTGATCTGTGTGTCTGACACATAACTGTCCTTTTTCATTCGTACGATAATGCAGCAAGAATTTATCCAAAATTTCTTCTGTTGTTCCCTCCCCCTTCGCTTTTGCATAAGCACGCTTAAAGGTGTCGACGAAACGTTCAGTCTGTCCATTCGATTGGGGATGATACGGGGGGCTACGAATATGCTGGATGCCAAACAGTTTGCAGCAACCAAGTTTGTCCTGGAAGACAGAAGCGTGCTTTTGACGACGGCGTTGCAAGAGAGATTGATCAGATACATCTCCGGGAACAACGTTGTGTGGTGAAGACGAAACATTAGAGCATACTGAATTTAATGGTACATTAAAGATATGGAGCTTGTCTAACCAGTCAAGACCAAGCAAATCCAAATCATGGTAGTTTGTAACGTAACATACACCATTGAAGTGATGCTCACCAAACTGAACCTGGCAATTTATCTCACCCACGAGTTTCAGTATATCTCCAGAGACATTCTTGGCGACATGCTCGGTCGGCAGAATCTGTGGGCAACCAAGTTTGCGCCACGTAGTTCGGGAAATTACGGTGATATCTGATGCCGTATCCAACTGAAGACGAATACGTTTGCCGTTAATATCTAGTGTTATGTACTTACGTTTGCTGGCGAACTCGACTTTGGAAGTAGTGAAAACGGTCTGTACTCGAGGAGATTGTTTCGGCTTGAAACGACTACTTCTGTTCCTCACCGAAGAATTTTTCTGCGGTGTACAGTAACCCTCCTTATGTCCAAAACGGTGACAATTACGGCATTTATGTTTCTTGAAAGGACAGAACTTGACAAAATGCCACGAACCACAGTGCCAGCACACTGAAGGAGGTTTAGCTGAATTTTGAGACTGACGTTCTGTGTGCTTAACGGTGATCGGAGGACTTTTCACTGTGTTAATCGAACCAAATTCAGACGACTGTCGTTTGCACTCCACCATAGCAGTATCGTGCTTCAAGTTGATTAAACGTAGGCATTCTGCTGTCACCATTTGTAAAGTCATTTTCGGGTCTTGTTCCACAAGTGACAGAAGTCGAGTTCGTATGTCAGTATCTTCTGGGTTCTTCAACCCACAAATAAAAATCAAACACTTGAACTGATCTGATGTCATTTCGTGTGGTTTGAACCTTTCACATTCCTTGTTCACTTTGCCAGCGTAAGTGACATAATCATCGGAAGGCATTTTTGTCAACTGAAAACATTGATACCGAATATTAAACATGGATGACTGTTCACCAAAGATTTGTGATAAAACGGTGACTGTCTCATCGAATGATAACTCACGTGGGTTCTTAGGCAGAATGAAGTTAACATATCTGTTGTGCTCAACAGTACCAAGTTTTCTTAGTAACAATCGGACTTTGGCAGCATCATCAAACATGTAGCATTCAATACGGAAAACGTCTTCGTAACGATTGAACCATGCATCAAATACGAGACCAGATATTGGGTCGTAGTTGAACTCACTGATGGAATTTGAGATGCTTTCATATTTGTCAGAATGAGATGTTGATGGAACTTGAATGGACAGCTTCTGAGTGAGAGCTTCGATTAATTTTAGTTGAGCTGCTTCATTCTGAACTTGCTGCTGCTGCAAGATAGATTTGAGATCGTCCAGAGAGATAGACATTGTAATTGGGTTGTAATTAACACAGTCAAAAATGTTATATAGTTGCGCTGAACAGAATAAAAACTGTCGTCGTTTGCTTGCTATAACTGCAATGAATTAAGGTAAAACCCCGTCGCCAATTTGTTATAACTGTAGGGAATTGAATGAAGACGTTTTCACCTTATTCTGTCTGCGCCTGAACTAATCTGCCTATCTGCTTGTCGTACCTTCCGATTTAGTAAAGCACGCAAATATCAAAAGACAAAGGCTGGACTGTGACTGTGTATTGAAGTGCAACAACGATAAAGAAAGCCATGGTATTTATACATTTTACAACAATATGGACAGCTAACAGCATTTGAAATAATTTATCTTAATAGCCAATAACAAAGTGCGTGAGAGATGATAATATACCATATGTGCGAGGTTGACAGTCAGTAACAAAATGTGTGGGAATGATAATATACCATATATACAAGATTAGCAGTCACTACCAAAATGTGTGAGAATGATAACATACCATATATGCAAGATTAAACAGTCAATACCAAAATATGTGGGATCATATCAATACCATACTTACAGACACTGATGGTGTAACTGATTAAGTGAGATTTGGGCAGCCTGCATGCTGTCGCACAGTAAGGCGATATTGTCTGCATACTCGAGGTCGAAAAGTCTATCTCCATTACGACTTTGTTTCCAAGGAACATTTTTCTTAGTTTATATCCTTACAACATTCATACGATTTCGTATTAATCTGATGACGGCATTTTTTTCGCAGACTGTGTGGGCAATCTGCAAAATGATTTTCGAAGTACCAATTCACGTATGTTACACGACTAACTTATGGACATTCAGTAAACAGACAGATGGTTTTACTGACCGACAACTGCTACCTTGACGCGGTGGTCGGGCTTGTATATTGCAATGAACCAACAAGCTGCACTGGCTGGAACTATTGTTCCTACAGGTTCTACCATGCTGGAAAGATGGTTAGGACAGTGATTAGACTAAAAGTAGTTACCGGAATAGTGTAAGAATTTTTTACACTATGCTGGGAGTCTGTGGGAGGTCATACTACTGGTGAACAGAGATGTAACAGCAGTAAGATGTTTCCCTCAGATGACCAGCATGCCAGCCAGCTATGATATCTCTCCACTCTGCAGAAAAGGGGTTAGAAAAAGTCGACCCCAAAAATTGTACATCCCGACTTACCCTACGGTGGTCTGTGGCCGGTGGTAAGTTACTGATACGGAACCAAACCGAAAAGATAGTTCATACAGGCCGTGGCTGACCGACATCAAGCAGTCGTCCCCTGGGGTCTGCAGTCACGCAACACTAACCTTCTTTCTGTTTCAGGTAACCGAAGAATCAATCAACTTCCAGTGTGTGGGCAGCCCACACACTTCTAAAAGCACACAAGGCCCTTCTGATCATCATTCTTCATTATCTCTGTCACCATCATCTTGCCTCCCGACTACTCTCAGTACCATCCTGCAAGCTTGTCAGCCATTTCCACTTCATTCTGTGATCACCAATAGCGATGACAGCCATGGAAATACCCCCGACAGCCTCCTAGAGCCACATT